GACAGAAGCGTCATGTGACATCTATTGACCAATAGATACATGACTCTTCCCATTTTGAAGCACACTTTCATTGCATGTTTTGAAATACTATATTTAGAACTAGGTCAATGTTCTTAGGCTAGCTAGACTGACCTCGAAATTCCGCGCATTTTGATATATGGTAAGCTAGGCTTACTACGGTGTGTAGATCTCGCTACACATCGTTGTGATGGGCGTATATCGGGGTGAAATACATTTTTTTACACACACACACCCACTTCAAATGCAAAAACAAGTGTAAAAACTATATTTTATTGTAAATTTGATAAGTATATTATGTTTATAAGTGGTTAAAGTAATAGAAAAAAATTTTAAAAAAAAAATGAATTTTCCGAGGTCGACCATGATTTTTCGGTAAACGGAAAAAAAGTCACAGGAAAAAAAAACACAGAAAAAAAGTCACAGTTTTTGCTAGGAAAAAAAGTCACAGAAAAAAAGTCACAGTGGAAAAATTTTTTTGGAAAAAAAGTCACAGAAATATTTTGAGAAATATTTTTTTTTTATTTGTTTAGAATTGTAAAATTTTGTATGTTTATTGTTGTGGGTTGTATTTTTGTATAGCATAAATTATTTATAGACGTTAAAAGCATTATTATTTATAACAATTGTAAGTAAAAAATACTCTAATATAATTTACACAACAATCTCAACTTTTGTTACGTATTTAGTTAAAAACGCGGCAGAAAATTTAATTATAAAAGAAATTTAGGCAAATTTTGCCGTAAGCTATTCTCTGGTCGGCCTCTCCTCAGTAGGCATTGTCCGAACATATTTTGTGTTGTTGACGTCATGCGTCAATGACAGCATTTGAACCTTGTCGGCTTTCTTTTTTATCCTAAGTGTTGTTATGTAATGAGCGTGATAAATGTGGGCAGTAAAGGTGGTTGAACTAAACATCTAAACATAACTATTGTGGCCATGAGTTGAGGGCAGCAAGTCAGACGAACTTACCATTTCACGGTAATTTAATATTGGTATTTAAAAAAAACAGGCTTAAAACAGTGGACTTTGGAGCATTCTATTAAACGCTACTAATCTTAAGTTTAAAATAATTACAATCTACATACTTCATACTAAATATTTTTAGATGAATTATAAAAATTCCTATGCGTATACAGCCTACACACATTACATTACATTTCATTAATCCTAAGTTAATTTGCACTCTCTGAATATTTAATACATAAAAGTATTAAAAAGTATCATGCAAATATATATTTGTGACTTTTTTTCCTGTGACTTTTTTTCCTGTGACTTTTTTTCCTGTGACTTTTTTTCTGTGTTTTTTTTTCCTGTGTTTTTTTTTCCTGTGACTTTTTTTCCTACAATCGATTTTTCAAGCTTAGTTCATCGATGCGCCCCCTTAAAAACAGGTACATAAATGAAACAAGGAAAAATGTTTGTATTTTTCAAAACATAAATCCTCCTCAAAATGTGAAATAATTATTAAAATTTAAGAAGTCACCTGTTTTTCACATTACTAGGTGCGGGAGATTTTACGTACCTAAAACGATAGATTACCATTAGGCTTAATGTTTTGATTTTTTAAGTTTAATCGACGAAAGGAAACAGGAATAAATATTACTAGATTTTCTCACTAAATCTAAAATTTACTTGGTAAAATCATGATATAGCGTTGGAAATTATTGGGTAATGTTCGTTGAGTTTCGGTAACATTCGTTACTGTAAACCATAGTTTATTTGACAGTTGAAAGAAAAATAAAGTCAAGTGCAGTAAATTAATGTTTTAACTTAATTTAATGTTTAACTGACAAAAAATTAGCAACAATTAGTAAATCTAATTATTATTAATAAAGTCGAGTGTAGTAATTAATGTTTTTTTTAAGAAACAGAAAAAAATGCAGAAGATTTGCGACAACCAATTTTCTTGGCTGGTCTTATAAAAAAACGGCTGACAATATTTGATTTATTTTTTCATAGACTGATAAACCTAATGATGCTTCAGTATGGAAATCAATTTTGTACTATGGAAATTTAAATTTAAAAGTTCTAGTATTTTTAATGAAACCAACTTTTAAATTTTGCCTTCATTCTCCAACGAAAATTTTGAAATGCTTTCCTGGCAAACATAGCCCTGCCACCTATAGTTTGTTGTTATAATGTGAAAACCCCGCCATTTTGCTCTTGGTAAATATTTTTAAAAGTAATTTACAGAAGGTCACTGGAATTTGGCAGAAAAATCATAGGAAGTCATGCGTCCGGATCTGGATGCCATATTTTTGTTAGCAACCGACCACGCCTTCAAGTTAGCGAGTAATACTAAATATTAATATAATAGTAGATCTAAAAAATTTAAAAAATATATATAAATATAAATAATAAAGCCAAATGTAATAATTTATTTAATGTTTTTGGCTTGGAGCGGATTTGCGACCATTAATTAATTAATTAGGCTAGATCTAGAATCTAGCTAGATCTAGCTGCTAGGCCAAGTATAAAAAAAATCTAGATTACGAAAATTGTAAAAATGATTATGAAACTGTAAAAATGATTAAAAAAAAAGTAAAAGTGACTAGCACCTGGGTTCGTACCCTATTTTGAAAATGAAACTAGACCTTTGTAACCACACCATTATTTGTGCTTTAAGCTGAGAAACTTTTGTCTGCTATTAAAAACTACCGGTATTTCCCCCCCCCTCCTACACACACATACACATTAAGAGACAGTGGAGGGGTCACTGTTAGGTCACAGTAGTCCAGTCTAATATTATATGTCATAGCATGAAATGTATCGTAACTTTTATTCCCCCTTCCCCCCCCCAGCCTAACAGCACCAACTACGTACTTGGGGTCACAGTGAGTTCATACAAGTTTAGATATCAGTGACCTTAGTTACTAGGAGGGGCGGGCTAGTCTAGCCCTAATCGTCAGGTTTTGCAAAGATTTCAGAAACAGTTTAGAGAGTGAATTGAAAATACAGGTAGTTAAATTATATGTAGACTACCACTTAAGCTTCCCTCATAATTTTTTTATGCAACCTCAGACAAACTTAAGGAACAATAGCGGGTTAAAAAAAAAAGAGGTCAAGATTTGTATTATTTGTATTATTTCATTAAATAACAATTTTAAATACTTGTAACACATTTACATGGTCAGTCAAGCAACAAAAACAAAAAAGACAGGTCTAACATTCTTTCTTCTCCCCGTCCCCCGTCCCCCCAATGACATAGTAACTGAGACTTTTTAAAGGCTGAAATTCACTTTTCTAAATTCAAGACTTTTTCCAGACTGCGTACGAACCCTGTTAAACAATTTTTAGTAGCAGAAATATTTAGCTGAAACACTTAAAAATAACTAGCAATACAAAATGATTAATAAAGCAGTATTTAACACACAATTAAAATAAATCTATCCAAATTTTAAACGTTCTATATTAAACATAACAGATGACACCAAATAAAGGATGGTTTACTACAGTACTGATGGTGTTTTACTGTTTTTACTGCTATGCTATTCCGAAATAATAACCAACACTAAACTAAGGTTTTACCAGATAGTTGGCTTGCTGCGTTGTGGTGTCCATGAAGATAATAGATAAAGAAAGGCAAGATGGCTATTAAAACAATTAGCTTGGTTGCATCTGATGAAAACATCGCTATCTTAGTTAACCGCTTTGAGAGCTTGGGCCGTGAGATAATATAAACAAACCTGGAAGCTGTCAACCGAATGGCCTACTACCGAGAATACTCTCAGACCTTAGTAGTCTCAGTCTGTACTCTTGAGACCTGAGAGAATAGTCTCGAAATTCTTTGAGAGGCCTGTTAGTCGGCATTAGAAGTTAGGGCTTAGGCTAAATATTTTTTAAATTATGCACGGTGTAGGCCCTTAATTAAAATTAATATGGATATAAAATCCTGGGTAAAACCTTAGTTTAGAGGGGATGTGTTTGACGTTTTAGTATTTTGGGTAATTATTAATTAAGCAAAACAGAATTTTAAAAAAGGCTAAAGCAATTTGGTTTTCATGTGGTAAAAGACCTGCTATTTGATGAGCTAGCTAAATTTTATCATACATAATGCAAACAAAAATGGCAGAACTAAGTCATGTTATTTAAAATAGTATAATTTTATTTTTAAATTATATCTGCAAATAACTATGATGTGGGGCTGTCCATGGTAATCCCCCATTTTTGTATTCATTTTTACTAGGCAAAAAATCTAGATCAAATTGATTGTCGCAAATCCTCTGCAAGTTTTTTTTCTGTGTTTCTAAAAAAAGTAATTACTAAGCTTCACTTAATATTTAGATCTACCAATTTCAAACCTTGGTTTACAGTAAATAATGTTTATGAAACTCAACAAACATAACTGGATAACTGCCGACGTTATACAGGGGAATTACCCTGTCAGAATATTGATTATGGAGTTCCTGTTCAGCCAATCACAGAGTTCCCACAGAGCCAGGAAACTGGGAAAAATATCGGGAATTGTAGGATAAAAATTCCCGGCTGGGAAAACCCATGAATAGCCGGAATTTTTTTCCGTCCCCCAAATATCGCTAGATTTGGTATGAGCCTAGCCTAATGAAGTCTCGCAGTTCTCGTTGTTTAGAGGGCGTACAAAACTAGTCTCGTGGTATTAGAGCAAACTATAATCACCCACGATTTGCAATCGTTGCTACAATTTCCAATTATTTTCAGAGGTGCCACTTTTCCTGATTATCCCTTTCTGGGTTAGCAAAATTTGAGTTTTACAATGGCCGTTTTTGAAGTTAGAAAACATACCAAACCTTTTCTCATGAGTAACCAAAGCTGTTATGAAAGAAAGCAAATTAGTTTTATTTTCTTATTTTTAGTATATTTAAAAGCTTGCTATTAGAAAGGTTTTTTATATTTGATTTATTTTTTACTTTTTAGTAATTCATAATCAATATCTACCAATGCTGCAACTAAAAATATTTGCTTTAAAACACCATTAGTATTACATTGATTTATTTGCATAGCCAAGAGAGAAAGAGGGAAATTCTTCCCATGGACCTGACACAAGCCAGTCACCTATCAGACGTGAAAGACAGAATAGCAAAAGGAAAAGGACTGAACACACAGACAATAAACAGATTAGCAAAAGGAAAAGGACTGAACACACAGACAATAGGATCATTGGGAAGAAGAGTGACATCATCTCATCCTTGTTTAGGAAAAACCCAGAAATACCTACCATTACCAGGTATGTAATGTAAAGAAATAGCAGATATGGGTACCTGACTCTACTCCACCCAGCTCTGATGGGTACCTGACTCTAGTCCACCCAGCTCTAGTCCACCCAAAACTTGATAATGCATCCTGTGGTAGTCTAGAACTTGATAATGCATTCTGTGGTAGTCTAGAACTTGATGATGCATTCTGTGGTAGCCTAGAACTTGATGATGCATTCTGTGGTAGTCTAGAACTTGATGATGCATCCTGTGGTAGTCTAGAACTTGATGATGCATTCTGTGGTAGTCTAGAACTTGATGATGCATCCTGTGGTAGCCTAGAACTTGATGATGCATCCTGTGGTAGTCTAGAACTTGATGATGCATCCTGTGGTAGTCTAGAACTTGATGATGCATTCTGTGGTAGTCTAGAACTTGATGATGCATCCTGTGGTAGTCTAGAACTTGATGATGCATTCTGTGGTAGTCTAGAACTTGATGATGCATCCTGTGGTAGTCTAGAACTTGATGATGCATCCTGTGGTAGTCTAGAACTTGATAATGCATTCTGTGGTAGTCTAGAACTTGATGATGCATTCTGTGGTAGTCTAGAACTTGATGATGCATTCTGTGGTAGTCTAGAACTTGATGCATCCTGTGGTAGTCTAGAACTTGATGATGCATTCTGTGGTAGTCTAGAACTTGATGATGCATCCTGTGGTAGTCTAGAACTTGATGCATTCTGTGGTAGTCTAGAACTTGATGAGGCATCCTGTGGTAGTCTAGAACTTGATGATGCATTCTGTGGTAGTCTAGAACTTGATGCATCCTGTGGTAGTCTAGAACTTGATGCATCCTGTGGTAGTCTAGAACTTGATGATGCATCCTGTGGTAGTCTAGAACTTGATGATGCATCCTGTGGTAGTCTAGAACTTGATGATGCATCCTGTGGTAGCCTAGAACTTGATGATGCATTCTGTGGTAGTCTAGAACTTGATGATGCATTCTGTGGTAGCCTAGAACTTGATGATGCATCCTGTGGTAGTCTAGAAGTTGATGATGCGTCCTGTGGTAGCCTAGAACTTGATGATGCATTCTGTGGTAGTCTAGAACTTGATGCATCCTGTGGTAGTCTAGAACTTGATGCATTCTGTGGTAGCCTAGAACTTGATGATGCATCCTGTGGTAGCCTAGAACTTGATGATGCATCCTGTGGTAGTCTAGAACTTGATGCATTCTGTGGTAGCCTAGAACTTGATGATGCATCCTGTGGTAGTCTAGAACTTGATGATGCATCCTGTGGTAGCCTAGAACTTGATGATGCATTCTGTGGTAGTCTAGAACTTGATGCATCCTGTGGTAGTCTAGAACTTGATGCATTCTGTGGTAGTCTAGAACTTGATGATGCATCCTGTGGTAGCCTAGAACTTGATGATGCATTTTGTGATAGTCTAGAACTTGATGCATCCTGTGGTAGTCTAGAACTTGATGCATTCTGTGGTAGTCTAGAACTTGATGATGCATCCTGTGGTAGCCTAGAACTTGATGATGCATTCTGTGGTAGTCTAGAACTTGATGATGCATCCTGTGGTAGTCTAGAACTTGATGCATCCTGTGGTAGTCTAGAACTTGATGCATCCTGTGGTAGTCTAGAACTTGATGCATTCTGTGGTAGTCTAGAACTTGATGATGCATCCTGTGGTAGTCTAGAACTTGATGATGCATCCTGTGGTAGCCTAGAACTTGATGATGCATCCTGTGGTAGTCTAGAACTTGATGCATCCTGTGGTAGTCTAGAACTTGATGCATTCTGTGGTAGTCTAAAAGGTTTTTTATGCTCTACTCTCTGAATCCATGTGTTGTTTGATTTCAGTGCTGCAGTAGAAACTGTCAAGGAAAATGTCTTCACAGGCCAGACGTTCAAAGATCTACCCATTCACCCATTTCTGGTGTGTTCAAATGTGCAACACAAATTTTTCTTGGGCATGAAACATGTGAAGTTTTGTTGTGTGTGAATTGTATGTGAAGTCTTTCTTGTTATGTGTTTATGTGAAGTTTTGTGAAGTTTAATTTGTTAAATATGTAAAGTCTCGTATGTCATCATCATCATTTTTCTTTTTGTTACCTACAAAGCATAGGACCTCTGTGAAAATCATCATCATTTTTACTTTCTCGTATATACGAAGTATAGAGAAAGTCTTGTAATCGTGAAAAAAAAAAAATTGAGATTTTTACAAATCTTGACGTTTTACACCTCACTGATACGGAAAAACATAATTTTGCAATCTTGTCTATGTGTGTGTGTGTAAACACAATAACTTGAGTACCGTTACAGCTAGTTTGATGAAATTTCATATATAAGTATTTTATCAAAATCTAGGGCCGTATCTTTTGAGCGATTTCCGATAACCGGAAGTGGTACTTTTTTCACTTTGAATTTTTCAAAAGCTTATAACTAGGGTACTATTTCAGATAGATAAATGAAATTTCACACATAAGTAAAAGATCTAATCCTCTACCTTCTATCAAATTTTGAGTAAGTTCCGTTGACCGGAAGTAGTAATTTACACTATTTCCGATTTCTGTAAATTCATAAAGTACTAATAATATTCCGCACTATTATGCACATTTTGTTCTGGCGTTAGCTTGGTGCGCAATTCTTTTATCTATGAGATTCTATTCTATTTTAAAAAGTTAAAGTATTTAAAATGGATTAAAAATCAGAACTATATCCTGAGTTCCCATCCCCTATTGTTTTAGATAAGAGTATTCGAGAAAGTCTAGGGGAGGTCACTCCCGGTTTATTCTTTTTGTTACCTGGATAGCATAGGACCTCTGTGAAAATCATCATTTTTCTTTTTGTTCCTTGCATAGCATAGGACCTCTGTAAAAGCTTTCCACTCCATGTTTTCCTGCTACTCCATTGCTTGTCTGGCTCTATTCTTTTCAAGTTTTGTTAGAAATGTAAACAGTTAAATATTTTTTGGCTTTTTAAAATATTTTTGCTTAGTTACCTGAAATACTAAAAACATCAAATAAAACCAATCTTTAGTTAAGTCCAACAAAAATCAGACAGTCAGATTTTTATAACCAAATTTTTTAAAATAAAATCATACATGATTTAAAAAATATTTAGTTGTACTTTTGAATAAATTTGAGACTATTCTCAGTTGTGTCCAATTTATACTTTCTGGTATATGGAGTATATAGGATGTTACCTTAAAAAAGCATTAATTTCTGCTCTATTATGCACACATTTGCATACACTTGTTACCCAATTCTTTATTTACTACTTGATTCTATTCTATTTAATAATTCATAATGACTGCTTAGGTTCCATGCCTGTGATTAGCTAACACACTGTCATCTTAGCTAGGAACACTATCATCTTAGCTAGGAACACTATCATCTTAGCTAGGAACACTCTATCATCTTAGCTAGGAACACAGTATCATCTTAGCTAGGAACACACTATCATCTTAGCTAGGAACACTATCATCTTAGCTAGGAACACTCTATCATCTTAGCTAGGAACACTATCATCTTAGCTAGGAACACTCTATCATCTTAGCTAGGAACACTATCATCTTAGCTAGGAACACTATCATCTTAGCTAGGAACACTATCATCTTAGCTAGGAACACACTATCATCTTAGCTAGGAACTCTATCATCTTAGCTAGGAACACTATCATCTTAGCTAGGAACACTCTATCATCTTAGCTAGGAACACTATCATCTTAGCTAGGAACACTCTATCATCTTAGCTAGGAACACACTATCATCTTAGCTAGGAACACTCTATCATCTTAGCTAGGAACACTATCATCTTAGCTAGGAACACTATCATCTTAGCTAGGAACACTATCATCTTAGCTAGGAACGCTATCATCTTAGCTAGGAACACTCATCTTAGCTAGGAACACTATCATCTTAGCTAGGAACACACTATCATCTTAGCTAGGAACACACTATCATCTTAGCTAGGAACACACTATCATCTTAGCTAGGAACACTATCATCTTAGCTAGGAACGCTATCATCTTAGCTAGGAACACTCTATCATCTTAGCTAGGAACACTATCATCTTAGCTAGGAACACTCTATCATCTTAGCTAGGAACACTATCATCTTAGCTAGGAACACTATCATCTTAGCTAGGAACACACTATCATCTTAGCTAGGAACACTCTATCATCTTAGCTAGGAACACTATCATCTTAGCTAGGAACACTATCATCTTAGCTAGGAACACTATCATCTTAGCTAGGAACACTCTATCATCTTAGCTAGGAACACTCTATCATCTTAGCTAGGAACACTCTATCATCTTAGCTAGGAACACACTATCATCTTAGCTAGGAACACACTATCATCTTAGCTAGGAACACACTATCATCTTAGCTAGGAACACACTATCATCTTAGCTAGGAACACTATCATCTTAACTAGGAATACACTATCATCTTAGCTAGGAACACTATCATCTTAGCTAGGAACACACTATCATCTTAACTAGGAACACTATCATCTTAGCTAGGAAAACTATCATCTTTGCTAGGAACACTATCATCTTAGATAGGAACACACTATCATCTTAGCTAGGAACACTATCATCTTAGCTAGGAACACTATCATCTTAGCTAGGAACGCTATCATCTTAGCTAGGAACACTATCATCTTAGCTAGGAACACTATCATCTTAGCTAGGAACACTATCATCTTAGCTAGGAACGCTATCATCTTAGCTAGGAACACTATCATCTTAGCTAGGAACACTCTATCATCTTAGCTAGGAACACTATCATCTTAGCTAGGAACACTCTATCATCTTAGCTAGGAACACTATCATCTTAGCTAGGAACACTATCATCTTAGCTAGGAACACACTATCATCTTAGCTAGGAACACTCTATCATCTTAGCTAGGAACACTATCATCTTAGCTAGGAACACTATCATCTTAGCTAGGAACACTATCATCTTAGCTAGGAACACTATCATCTTAGCTAGGAACACACTGTCATCTTAGCTAGGAATACTATCATCTTAGCTAGGAACACTATCATCTTAACTAGGAACACACTATCATCTTAGCTAGGAACACTATCCTCTTAGCTAGGAACACACTATCATCTTAACTAGGAACACTATCATCTTACCTAGGAAAACTATCATCTTTGCTAGGAACACTATCATCTTAGATAGGAACACACTATCATCTTAGCTAGGAACACACTATCATCTTAGCTAGGAACACTATCATCTTAGCTAGGAACACACTATCATCTTAGCTAGGAACACACTATCATCTTAGCTAGGAACACACTATCATCTTAGCTAGGAACACACTATCATCTTAGCTAGGAACACTATCATCTTAACTAGGAACACTATCACCTTAGCTAGGAACACTATCATCTTAGCTAGGAACACTATCATCTTAGCTAGGAACACACTATCATCTTAGCTAGGAACACTATCATCTTAGCTAGGAGCACACTATCCTCTTAGCTAGGAACACACTATCATCTTAGCTAGGAACACTATCATCTTAGCTAGGAACACTATCATCTTAGCTAGGAACACTATCATCTTAGCTAGGAACACTATCATCTTAGCTAGGAACACACTATCATCTTAGCTAGGAACACTATCATCTTAGCTAGGAACACTCATCTTAGCTAGGAACACACTATCATCTTAGCTAGGAACACACTATCATCTTAGCTAGGAACACACTATCATCTTAGCTAGGAACACACTATCATCTTAGCTAGGAACACACTATCATCTTAGCTAGGAACACTCTATCATCTTAGCTAGGAACACACTATCATCTTAGCTAGGAACACACTATCATCTTAGCTAGGAACACTCTATCATCTTAGCTAGGAACACACTATCATCTTAGCGAGGAACACACTATCATCTTAGCTAGGAACACACTATCATCTTAGCTAGGAACACACTATCATCTTAGCTAGGAACACACTATCATCTTAGCTAGGAACACACTATCATCTTAGCTAGGAACACTATCATCTTAGCTAGGAACACTATCATCTTAGCTAGGAACACACTATCATCTTAGCTAGGAACACTATCATCTTAGCTAGGAACACACTATCATCTTAGCTAGGAACACACTATCATCTTAGCTAGGAACACTCTATCATCTTAGCTAGGAATACTCTATCATCTTAGCTAGGAACACACTATCATCTTAGCTAGGAACACTATCATCTTAGCTAGGAACACTATCATCTTAGCTAGGAACACTATCATCTTAGCTAGGAACACACTATCATCTTAGCTAGGAACACTATCATCTTAGCTAGGAACACTCATCTTAGCTAGGAACACACTATCATCTTAGCTAGGAACACACTATCATCTTAGCTAGGAACACACTATCATCTTAGCTAGGAACACACTATCATCTTAGCTAGGAACACACTATCATCTTAGCTAGGAACACACTATCATCTTAGCTAGGAACACACTATCATCTTAGCTAGGAACACACTATCATCTTAGCTAGGAACACTCTATCATCTTAGCTAGGAACACACTATCATCTTAGCGAGGAACACACTATCATCTTAGCTAGGAACACACTATCATCTTAGCTAGGAACACACTATCATCTTAGCTAGGAACACTATCATCTTAGCTAGGAACACACTATCATCTTAGCTAGGAACACTATCATCTTAGCTAGGAACACTCTATCATCTTAGCTAGGAACACACTATCATCTTAGCTAGGAACACACTATCATCTTAGCTAGGAACACACTCTCATCTTAGCTAGGAACACTATCATCTTAGCTAGGAACACTATCATCTTAGCTAGGAACACACTATCATCTTAGCTAGGAACACTATCATCTTAGCTAGGAACACACTATCATCTTAGCTAGGAACACACTATCATCTTAGCTAGGAACACTATCATCTTAGCTAGGAACACTCTATCATCTTAGCTAGGAACACACTATCATCTTAGCTAGAAACACTCTATCATCTTAGCTAGGAACACACTATCATCTTAGCTAGGAACACTCTATCATCTTAGCTAGGAACACTATCAACTTAGCTAGGAACACTATCATCTTAGCTAGGAACACTATCATCTTAGCTAGGAACACTATCATCTTAGCTAGGAACACACTATCATCTTAGCTAGGAGCACTCTATCATCTTAGCTAGGAACACTATCATCTTAGCTAGGAACACTATCATCTTAGCTAGGAACACACTATCATCTTAGCTAGGAACACACTATCATCTTAGCTAGGAACACACTATCATCTTAGCTAGGAGCACACTATCATCTTAGCTAGGAACACTCATCTTAGCTAGGAACACTATCATCTTAGCTAGGAACACACTATCATCTTAGCTAGGAACACTATCATCTTAGCTAGGAACACACTATCATCTTAGCTAGGAACACACTATCATCTTAGCTAGGAACACTCTATCATCTTAGCTAGGAACACACTATCATCTTAGCTAGGAACACACTATCATCTTAGCTAGGAACACACTATCATCTTAGCTAGGAACACTATCATCTTAGCTAGGAACACTATCATCTTAGCTAGGAACACTATCATCTTAGCTAGGAACACTCATCTTAGCTAGGAACACTATCATCTTAGCTAGGAACACACTATCATCTTAATCTTAGCTAGGAACACACTATCATCTTAGCTAGGAACACTATCATCTTAGCTAGGAACACTATCATCTTAGCTAGGAACACTATCATCTTAGCTAGGAACACTATCATTTTAGCTAGGAACACACTATCATCTTAGCTAGGAACACTCTATCATCTTAGCTAGGAACACTCTATCATCTTAGCTAGGAACACTCTATCATCTTAGCTAGGAACACTATCATCTTAGCTAGGAACACTCTATCATCTTAGCTAGGAACACTATCATCTTAGCTAGGAACACTCTATCATCTTAGCTAGGAACACACTATCATCTTAGCTAGGAACACTATCATCTTAGCTAGGAACACTCTATCATCTTAGCTAGGAACACACTATCATCTTAGCTAGGAATTCTCATATCAATCAGGAAAAATATATTGTGTATCATTTAGCCTACTCTTATACACTTACTGATGACCAATGCACATATACAGATGACCAATGCACACATACAGATGACCAATGCACATATACAGATGACCAATGCACATATACAGATGACCAATGCACATATACAGATGACAAATGCACATATACAGATGACCAATGCACACATACAGATGACCAATGCACATATACAGATGACCAATGCACATATACAGATGACCAATGCACACATACAGATGACCAATGCACATACAGATGACCAATGCACATATACAGATGACCAATGCACATATACAGATGACTAATGCACACATACAGATGACCAATGCACATATACAGATGACCAATGCACACATACAGATGACCTATGCACATATACAGATGACCAATGCACACATACAGATGACCAATGCACATATACAGATGACCAATGCACACATACAGATGACCAATGCACATATACAGATGACCAATGCACACATACAGATGACCAATACACATATACAGATGACCAATGCACACATACAGATGACCAATGCACATATACAGATGACCAATGCACATATACAGATGACCAATGCACACATACAGATGACCAATGCACATACAGATGACCAATGCACATATACAGATGACCAATGCACATATACAGATGACCAATGCACACATACAGATGACCAATGCACATATATAGATGACCAATGCACATATACAGATGACCAATGCACACATACAGATGACCAATGCACATATACAGATGACCAATGCACATATACAGATGACCAATGCACATATACAGATGACCAATGCACACATACAGATGACCAATGCACATATACAGATGACCAATGCACACATACAGATGACCAATGCACATATACAGATGACCAATGCACACATACAGATGACCAATGCACACATACAGATGACCAATGCACATATACAGATGACCAATGCACATATACAGATGACCAATGCACACATACAGATGACCAATGCACATATACAGATGACCAATGCACATATACAGATGACCAATGCACATATACAGATGACCAATACACATATACAGATGACCAATGCACACATACAGATGACCAATGCACACATACAGATGACCAATGCACACATACAGATGACCAATGCACATATACAGATGACCAATGCACATTTACAGATAAATTCTTTGTAAAAACAGGTAAGCAACCTAGAGCAGAAGCAAGGCTTCACTTACCTGACAGAGGTCCAGAAAAAAGCTATACCTGCTCTCCTAAACAAAAAAGATGCTTTAATTAGATCTCAAACTGGCTCGGGTAAACCAACTTTTAACACAATCTCTTTTAAGTAAAACATTGTAACCTATATCTTTCAGGTAAAATACTGTAACCTATATATTTCAGGTAAAACATTGGCCTATGCAATTCCAATAGTACAGTCACTGCAAGCTAGAAAGCTGAGAATTCAAAGAGATGATGGACCCTATGCCTTGGTCATAGTGCCCACCAGAGAGGTAAGCTTTAGTCATCTTAGAGAGGTAAGCTTTAGTCATCTTAGAGAGGTAAGCTTTAGTCATCTTAGAGAGGTAAGCTTTAGTCATCTTAGAGAGGTAAGCTTTAGTCATCTTAGAGAGGTGAGCTTTAGTCATCTTAGAGAGGTAAGCTTTAGTCATCTTAGAGAGGTGAGCTTTAGTCATCTTAGAGAGGTAAGCTTTAGTCATCTTAGAGAGGTGAGCTTTAGTCATCTTAGAGAGGTAAGCTTTAGTCATCTTAGAGAGGTAAGCTTTAGTCATCTTAGAGAGGTAAGCTTTAGTCATCTTAGAGAGGTAAGCTTTAGTCATCTTAGAGAGGTAAGCTTTAGTCATCTTAGAGAGGTAAGCTTTAGTCATCTTAGAGAGGTAAGCTTTAGTCATCTTAGAGAGGTGAGCTTTAGTCATCTTAGAGAGGTAAGCTTTAGTCATCTTACAGAGGTAAGCTTTAGTCATCTTAGAGAGGTAAGCTTTAGTCATCTTAGAGAGGTAAGCTTTAGTCATCTTAGAGAGGTAAGCTTTAGTCATCTTAGAAAGGTAAGCTTTAGTCATCTTAGAGAGGTAAGCTTTAGTCATCTTAGAAAAATGCTTTGGTGTTTCTACAGTTCTATCCTAATATATAAAAGCTCATGTGCGCACTTCTGTCTCTGTGTCCGCAAAATATTTACAAAGGCTATGAGATCAGTACCTTCAGTGATATATGGAGAACTTGATACAGACTTTTGTTGAAAATAATATGTTCGGTGTTTTAAATGTATAAACTAAATTATATTTAAAGAAGGAAAATTTAAATAAAGGCATATTGGAATGTGGAAACACATTTTTAATTATGCAACAGGAAGAGTGTTTATGGTTGTGGCAAGAACGCTTAAACAATGACGTCACATGCCACATGATTAAACTATGGAAAGTACACATCACTAATGGTGTCATCTTTCAATTTTAGACTTTGAAGAAATTAAACATTTCATTTAAGTTTGTTTTAGATCTATAAATCTATTGATACAATTTTCTTGGCCAAAACTAATAGAAATTACCTTAAAAAAACATAAATATCATTGAACAGCCGGGTTTTTAACAGAATCATTTCAGTCTCTTAATCAGTGTGTGAATTAAATATGGTGTAGTGTTGACTAATAATTTTTTAATAGGTATTGGTAGCCTATGTTATTTTAAATGTGTTTAATTTTTAGCTATTTGGTTATTTCTTTGCTTTGTCACTGATATCGTTCAACATGTAGTAAAGTACATTGTGTTTTGACCAATGACTTGACTTACTTAGTCCTCTTTGCTCCTTATGGAGCATAGGGCCTCCACCATTTCCTTCCATTTCTTCCTATCCTCTGCTATTAGTTTTGACATCTCCCAAGACATCCCTGTTGGCTTCAGTTCTTCAAGAAGACTCCGCCTCCAGGTCTGTCTTGGGCGCCCTCTCTTTCGCTTTCCCTGGGGGGTTTTGACCAATAACTTTTATAAAATATTATGAAATATATTTCTCAAACAAGTATAAAATTTTAAATATAGGTCTATAAATCAAGGGTACCTATGAAGAACTGGAACAGTTTTATTTAAATCTATAGATCAATACATAATAAAAACATAATAAAAATAAATCAGTTAACAAGAAGAATAGCATTATATATATGTAAAGAGAAGAGAGCTAAAATTCACAGTGTAACGGGTACAGCTAGTATTTAATAAAAGATTTAACATATTTTCATAACAAATTTCTATCATTTTTTCTCCATGTGGATTCCTGCCTCAACAGCTAGCTTTACAAAGTTACGAAACTTTTCTCAAGCTTTTAAAGGTAAGCAAAAGTCTAGTTTTTTAATAGTACTTCAAATTTCATGAACATGCTACACTTTGTATTAATCAATTTACATATTTATTTTTCTAGACATTTATTTGGATTGTTCCTGGATGTTTAATGGGCGGAGAAAAACGTAAAGCTGAAAAATCTAGGTAAATACTGACAATTTGACAGCTGCTTTCACTGTTCGAGGGGGGGGGGGGAGGATAATCGCTACTGATAGTGTTTTAAAGCAAAGTATTTTCAGTAGCAGCGTTGGTAGTGTCGAATTCACTAATTGTAAATTACTGAAAAGTAGAAAATAAAACAAGTAAATAGTTGCATATGCTACGTTGCGGGTTTAAGGGTTGTGTAGGTATTATATTTTAGATTGCATCCACATTCTATTTTAAGTTGCGTACACATTTTATTTTAGTTTGCATACACATTCTATTTTAGGTTGCGTAAAGGTGTAAACATTCTAGTTGCAACTCCAGGCAGGTTGATAGATCACATCAAGACAACACAAGTCCTACGGCTGGCTAGGATACAATGGTTGGTTATTGATGAGGCTGACAGGTCAGTTCAACTTTCTGACATACATCTCTCCTGCCTGACACTTGACACTGAATGTCATGTCTATTATGTGATGTCATCTGTAACACTATGATGTTATCTGTAACACACCTGTCATCTGTAACACTATGATGACATCTGTAACACACTGGATGTCATATGTAACACACCTGATGTCATCTGTAATGCACTTGATGTCATATGTAACACACCTGATGTCATCTGTAATGCACTTGATGTCATCTGTAACACACTTGATGTCATCTGTAACATTTGATGTCATCTGTAATGTACTTGATGTCATCTGTATCATTTGATGTCATCTGTAATGTACTTGATGTCATCTGTAATGTACTTGATGTCATCTGTAATGTACTTGATGTCATCTGTTGCACACTTGTTGTCATCTGTTACACTATGATGTCATCTGAAACAAATTAATGTCATCTGTAACACACCTGATGTCATCTGTTATGCACTTGATGTCATATGTAACACACTTGATGTCATATGTAACACACTTGATGTCATCTGTAACACATTTGATGTCATCTGTAACGCACTTGATGTCATGAAAATCTGATACTGGTTCCTCTTGTTCCAGGATGCTAGAACTGGGTTATGAGAAAGACATGGCCCAAATTTTAAATGCTCTGCGAGCCCAATGTACAGATCCCCCACAAACAGTTTTGTTGTCAGCCACACTCTCTCAAGGTAATCAGGGCTACAAGTATGTATAGAAGCTAACCACTCTCTCAAGGTAATCAGGGCTACAAGTATGTATAGAAGCTAACCACTCTCTCAAGGTAATCAGGGCTACAAGTATGTATAGAAGCTAACCACTCTCTCAAGGTAATCAGGGCTACAAGTATGTATAGAAGCTAACCACTCTCTCAAGGTAATCAGGGCTACAAGTATGTATAGAAGCTAACCACTCTCTCAAGGTAATCAGGGCTACAAGTATGTATAGAAGCTAACCACTCTCTCAAGGTAATCAGGGCTACAAGTATGTATAGAAGCTAACCACTCTCTCAAGGTAATCAGGGCTACAAGTATGTCTAGAAGCTAACCACTCTCTCAAGGTAATCAGGGCTACAAGTATGTCTAGAAGCTAACCACTCTCTCAAGGTAATCAGGGCTACAAGTATGTCTAGAAGCTAACCACTCTCTCAAGGTAATCAGGGCTACAAGTATGTCTAGAAGCTAACCACTCTCTCAAGGTAATCAGGGCTACAAGTATGTATAGAAGCTAACCACTCTCTCAAGGTAATCAGGGCTACAAGTATGTATAGAAGCTAACCACTCTCTCAAGGTAATCAGGGCTACAAGTATGTATAGAAGCTAACCACTCTCTCAAGGTAATCAGGGCTACAAGTATGTATAGAAGCTAACCACTCTCTCAAGGTAATCAGGGCTACAAGTATGTATAGAAGCTAACCACTCTCTCAAGGTAATCAGGGCTACAAGTATGTATAGAAGCTAACCACTCTCTCAAGGTAATCAGGGCTACAAGTATGTATAGAAGCTAACCACTCTCTCAAGGTAATCAGGGCTACAAGTATGTATAGAAGCTAACCACTCTATCAAGGTAATCAGGGCTACAAGTATGTATAGAAACTAACCACTCTCTCAAGGTAATCAGGGCTACAAGTATGTATAGAAGCTAACCACTCTCTCAAGGTAATCAGGGCTACAAGTATGTATAGAAGCTAACCACTCTCTCAAGGTAATCAGGGCTACAAGTATGTATAGAAGCTAACCACTCTCTCAAGGTAATCAGGGCTACAAGTATGTCTAGAAGCTAACCACTCTCTCAAGGTAATCAGGGCTACAAGTATGTATAGAAGCTAACCACTCTCTCAAGGTAATCAGGGCTACAAGTATGTATAGAAGCTAACCACTCTCTCAAGGTAATCAGGGCTACAAGTATGTATAGAAGCTAACCACTCTCTCAAGGTAATCAGGGCTACAAGTATGTATAGAAGCTAACCACTCTCTCAAGGTAATCAGGGCTACAAGTATGTATAGAAGCTAACCACTCTCTCAAGGTAATCAGGGCTACAAGTATGTATAGAAGCTAACCACTCTCTCAAGGTAATCAGGGCTACAAGTATGTCTAGAAGCTAACCACTCTCTCAAGGTAATCAGGGCTACAAGTATGTCTAGAAGCTAACCACTCTCTCAAGGTAATCAGGGCTACAAGTATGTATAGAAGCTAACCACTCTCTCAAGGTAATCAGGGCTACAAGTATGTATAGAAGCTAACCACTCTCTCAAGGTAATCAGGGCTACAAGTATGTATAGAAGCTAACCACTCTCTCAAGGTAATCAGGGCTACAAGTATGTATAGAAGCTAACCACTCTCTCAAGGTAATCAGGGCTACAAGTATGTATAGAAGCTAACCACTCTCTCAAGGTAATCAGGGCTACAAGTATGTCTAGAAGCTAACCACTCTCTCAAGGTAATCAGGGCTACAAGTATGTATAGAAGCTAACCACTCTCTCAAGGTAATCAGGGCTACAAGTATGTATAGAAGCTAACCACTCTCTCAAGGTAATCAGGGCTACAAGTATGTATAGAAGCTAACCACTCTCTCAAGGTAATCAGGGCTACAAGTATGTATAGAAGCTAACCACTCTCTCAAGGTAATCAGGGCTACAAGTATGTATAGAAGCTAACCACTCTCTCAAGGTAATCAGGGCTACAAGTATGTATAGAAGCTAACCACTCTCTCAAGGTAATCAGGGCTACAAGTATGTATAGAAGCTAACCACTCTCTCAAGGTAATCAGGGCTACAAGTATGTCTAGAAGCTAACCACTCTCTCAAGGTAATCAGGGCTACAAGTATGTATAGAAGCTAACCACTCTCTCAAGGTAATCAGGGCTACAAGTATGTATAGAAGCTAACCACTCTCTCAAGGTAATCAGGGCTACAAGTATGTCTAGAAGCTAACCACTCTCTCAAGGTAATCAGGGCTACAAGTATGTATAGAAGCTAACCACTCTCTCAAGGTAATCAGGGCTACAAGTATGTATAGAAGCTAACCACTCTCTCAAGGTAATCAGGGCTACAAGTATGTATAGAAACTAACCACTCTCTCAAGGTAATCAGGGCTACAAGTATGTCTAGAAGCTAACCACTCTCTCAAGGTAATCAGGGCTACAAGTATGTATAGAAGCTAACCACTCTCTCAAGGTAATCAGGGCTACAAGTATGTCTAGAAGCTAACCACTCTCTCAAGGTAATCAGGGCTACAAGTATGTATAGAAGCTAACCACTCTCTCAAGGTAATCAGGGCTACAAGTATGTATAGAAGCTAACCACTCTCTCAAGGTAATCAGGGCTACAAGTATGTATAGAAGCTAACCACTCTCTCAAGGTAATCAGGGCTACAAGTATGTATAGAAGCTAACCACTCTCTCAAGGTAATCAGGGCTACAAGTATGTATAGAAGCTAACCACTCTCTCAAGGTAATGGTCTCAAGGCTACAGCCATCTCAATAGTTTAAAGTGACCACACTAATTCCACTACCCATGACTAATTCCACTACCCATGACTAATTCCACTACCCATGACTAATTCCACTACCCATGACTAATTCCACTAATCATGACTAATTCCACTACCCATGACTAATTCCACTACCCATGACTAATTTGCATACAGGATTGAATAACTTGACATTTAGCAAACTATCAGAGTGCCAGACATTTAGCAAACTATCAGAGTGCCAGACATTTAGCAAACTATCAGAGTGCCAGACAGCAAACTATCAGAGTGCCAGACAGCAAACTATCAGAGTGCCAGACAGCAAACTATCAGAGTGCCAGACATTTAGCAAACTATCAGAGTGCCAGACATTTAGCAAACTATCAGAGTGCCAGACAGCAAACTATCAGAGTGCCAGACAGCAAACTATCAGAGTGCCAGACATTTAGCAAACTATCAGAGTGCCAGACAGCAAACTATCAGAGTGCCAGACAGCAAACTATCAGAGTGCCAGACATTTAGCAAACTATCAGAGTGCCAGACATTTAGCAAACTATCAGAGTGCCAGACAGCAAACTATCAGAGTGCCAGACATTTAGCAAACTATCAGAGTGCCAGACATTTAGCAAACTATCAGAGTGCCAGACATTTAGCAAACTATCAGAGTGCCAGACAGCAAACTATCAGAGTGCCAGACAGCAAACTATCAGAGTGCCAGACATTTAGCAAACTATCAGAGTGCCAGACATTTAGCAAACTATCAGAGTGCCAGACATTTAGCAAACTATCAGAGTGCCAGACATTTAGCAAACTATCAGAGTGCCAGACATTTAGCAAACTATCAGAGTGCCAGACATTTAGCAAACTATCAGAGTGCCAGATATTTAGCAAACTATCAGAGTGCCAGTGCTGCCCACTGGTGGTGGTACTGGTGTGACTATTCCTTCCAAATGTTTTCTTTGTTGCAAGTAGCTACAGAACAGGGAAAAGTTCTTGATGCAGTCACATCCCTTCAAATAGTTGAACGGGTCAGATTTCAACCATTTCAGTTTGATTTCTGAGAATATTAAAGGCGCCTATGGCACCATAGCTATTTCCTTACCAAATATGAATTTTGTGTTGTATCTGCAAGTGGTTGATCTAATTTAAGCACTTTAAAAATGTACAGTTTATAGAAGGCTGTGGTCACTCTAGGTCAGTTTCTTGGTCACTTTAAGCTCGAGTTTTGAGATGGCTATGGTTTGAAAATTTTGGCAAGAACATCTGAAACTTTCCTGCAAATACCTAATCTAACAGTGTGACAGACATCCCCCACATTGCTCTCATAGAAATCCATGTATCAATCTCATCTAATTGGTGTGGGGAACAGTGTGACACATCCCCCTCTCATAGAAATCCATGTATCAATCTCATCTAATTGGTGTGGGGAACAGTGCGACAGACATCCCCCACTCATAGAAATCCATGTATCAATCTCCTGCAGGTGTGGAGAGACTATCTAGCATCAGTCTAACTGAGCCTGAACATATTGACATGAATCAGCAAGTAGCCAGACACAGCTCACACCACAACCCTGGGGCTGACCCTGGGGCTAACCCTGGGGCTGACCAAGACTTTGCTGTACCCAGCCAACTCCAGCAATTATTTATCCTAACGCCCTGTAAGCTACGCTTGGTTACGCTGGCTGCTTTTTTACTTTGGAAATGCAGGGTAAGTCTGATGTTGTAGGTGAGTTGTTGATGTTGTAGGTGAGTTGTTGATGTTTTAGGTTGATGTTTTAGGTGAGTTGTTGATGTTGTAGGTGAGTTGTTGATGTTTTAGGTGAGTTGTTGATGTTGTAGGTGAGTTGTTGATGTTGTAGGTGAGTTGTTGATGTTGTAGGTGAGTTGTTGATGTTGTAGGTGAGTTGTTGATGTTGTAGGTGAGTTGTTGATGTTGTAGGTGAGTTGATGATGCTGTAGGTCTGATTAAAAATGTTTATTCAAATTATTTTTCTAATTACACCACTTGACTGTAACCCCTCCCCATGTGGCAACTTGACTGTAACCCCTCCCCATGTGGCAACTTGACTGTAACCCCTCCCCATGTGGCAACTTGACTGTAACCCCTCCCCATGTGGCAACTTGACTGTAACCCCTCCCCATGTGGCAACTTGACTGTAACCCCTCCCCATGGGGCAACTTGACTGTAACCCCTCCCCATGTGGCAACTTGACTGTAACCCCTCCCCATGTGGCAACTTGACTGTAACCCCTCCCCATGCGGCAACTTGACTGTAACCCCTCCCCATGTGGCAACTTGACTGTAACCCCTCCCCATGTGGCAACTTGACTGTAACCCCTCCCCATGTGGCAACTTGACTGTAACCCCTCCCCATGCGGCAACTTGACTGTAACCCCTCCCCATGTGGCAACTTGACTGTAACCCCTCCCCATGTGGCAACTGTATGTTCTGTTTTTTCTTCCAGTACTCTAACCCAGCCAGCAAAATGATTGTTTTTTTATCAACACAAGACTCAGTACAGTTCCACACCAAATTATTTCACAAACTTCTTGTCCGCCCCAAAAATACAATTGACACCTCAACCACACCTGAGCTGGCAGATGGTATTCAGCAAAATATAAATTTCTATCAGCTTTATGGAGATATGCCTCAGAGGGTTAGTAGATATAATGAACGCTCTAGCTGTCTGGCTGTGTAGTGGGTGCTCTAGCTGTCTGGCTGTGTAGTGAGTGCTGTCTGGCCGTGTAGTGGGTGCTCTAGCTGTCTGGTTGTGTAGTGGGTGCTGTATGGCTGTGTAGTGTGGCTCTAGCTGTATGGCTGTGTAGTGAGTGCTGTCTGGCTGTGTAGTGGGTGCTGTCTGGCTGTGTAGTAGGTGCTGTCTGGCTGTGTAGTGTGTGCTGTCTGGCTGTGTAGTAGGTGCTGTCTGGCTGTGTAGTGGGTGCTGTCTGGCTGTGTAGTGAGTGCTGTCTGGCTGTGTAGTGGGTGCTCTAGCTGTCTGGCTGTGTAGTGGGTGCTGTCTGGCTGTGTAGTGAGTGCTGTATGGCTGTGTAGTGGGTGCTCTAGCTGTATGGCTGTGTAGTGGGTGCTGTCTGGCTGTGTAGTGAGTGCTCTAGCTGTCTGGTTGTGTAGTGGGTGCTGTATGGCTGTGTAGTGAGTGCTGTCTGGCTGTGTAGTGGGTGTTCTAGCTGTCTGGCTGTGTAGTGAGTGCTCTAGCTGTCTGGCTGTGTAGTGGGTGCTGTATGGCTGTGTAGTGGGTGCTCTAGCTGTCTGGTTGTGTAGTGGGTGCTGTATGGCTGTGTAGTGGGTGCTGTCTGGCTGTGTAGTGAGTGCTGTATGGCTGTGTAGTGGGTGCTCTAGCTGTATGGCTGTGTAGTGGGTGCTGTCTGGCTGTGTAGTGAGTGCTCTAGCTGTCTGGTTGTGTAGTGGGTGCTGTCTGGCTGTGTAGTGGGTGCTGTCTGGCTGTGTAGTGGGTGCTGTCTGGCTGTGTAGTGGGTGCTGTCTGGCTGTGTAGTGGGTGCTGTATGGCTGTGTAGTGTGTGCTGTCTGGCTGTGTAGTGGGTGCTGTCTGGCTGTGTAGTGAGTGCTGTCTGGCTGTGTAGTGGGTGTTCTAGCTGTCTGGCTGTGTAGTGGGTGCTGTCTGGCTGTGTAGTGGGTGCTGTCTGGCTGTGTACTGGGTGCTGTCTGGCTGTGTAGTGAGTGCTGTATGGCTGTGTAGTGGGTGCTGTCTGGCTGTGTAGTGGGTGCTGTCTGGCTGTGTAGTGTGTGCTGTCTGGCTGTGTAGTGTGTGCTGTCTGGCTGTGTAGTGGGTGCTGTCTGGCTGTGTAGTGGGTGCTGTCTGGCTGTGTAGTGGGTGCTGTCTGGCTGTGTAGTGTGTGCTGTCTGGCTGTGTAGTGTGTGCTGTCTGGCTGTGTAGTGGGTGCTGTCTGGCTGTGTAGTGGGTGCTGTCTGGCTGTGTAGTGGGTGCTGTCTGGCTGTGTAGTGGGTGCTGTATGGCTGTGTAGTGTGTGCTGTCTGGCTGTGTAGTGAGTGCTGTCTGGCTGTGTAGTGGGTGTTCTAGCTGTCTGGCTGTGTAGTGGGTGCTGTCTGGCTGTGTAGTGGGTGCTGTCTGGCTGTGTACTGGGTGCTGTCTGGCTGTGTAGTGAGTGCTGTATGGCTGTGTAGTGAGTGCTGTCTGGCTGTGTAGTGGGTGCTGTCTGGCTGTGTAGTGTGTGCTGTCTGGCTGTGTAGTGTGTGCTGTCTGGCTGTGTAGTGGGTGCTGTCTGGCTGTGTAGTGGGTGCTGTCTGGCTGTGTAGTGGGTGCTGTCTGGCTGTGTAGTGTGTGCTGTCTGGCTGTGTAGTGTGTGCTGTCTGGCTGTGTAGTGGGTGCTGTCTGGCTGTGTAGTGGGTGCTGTCTGGCTGTGTAGTGGGTGCTGTCTGGCTGTGTAGTGGGTGCTGTATGGCTGTGTAGTGTGTGCTGTCTGGCTGTGTAGTGGGTGCTGTCTGGCTGTGTAGTGGGTGTTCTAGCTGTCTGGCTGTGTAGTGTGTGCTGTCTGGCTGTGTAGTGGGTGTTCTAGCTGTCTGGCTGTGTAGTGGGTGCTGTCTGGCTGTGTAGTGGGTGCTGTCTGGCTGTGTACTGGGTGCTGTCTGGCTGTGTAGTGAGTGCTGTATGGCTGTGTAGTGGGTGCTGTCTGGCTGTGTAGTGGGTGCTGTCTGGCTGTGTAGTGTGTGCTGTCTGGCTGTGTAGTGGGTGTTCTAGCTGTCTGGCTGTGTAGTGGGTGCTGTCTGGCTGTGTAGTGGGTGCTGTCTGGCTGTGTAGTGAGTGCTGTCTGGCTGTGTAGTGAGTGCTGTCTGGCTGTGTAGTGGGTGCTGTCTGGCTGTGTAGTGAGTGCTGTCTGGCTGTGTAGTGAGTGCTGTATGGCTGTGTAGTGGGTGCTGTCTGGCTGTGTAGTGGGTGCTGTCTGGCTGTGTAGTGTGTGCTGTCTGGCTGTGTAGTGGGTGTTCTAGCTGTCTGGCTGTGTAGTGGGTGCTGTCTGGCTGTGTAGTGGGTGCTGTCTGGCTGTGTAGTGAGTACTGTCTGGCTGTGTAGTGGGTGTTCTAGCTGTCTGGTTGTGTAGTGGGTGCTGTATGGCTGTGTAGTGGGTGCTGTATGGCTGTGTAGTGGGTGTTCTAGCTGTCTGGTTGTGTAGTGAGTGCTGTCTGGCTGTGTAGTGGGTGCTCTAGCTGTCTGGCTGTGTAGTGGGTGCTGTATGGCTGTGTAGTGTGTGCTGTCTGGCTGTGTAGTGGGTGTTGTATGGCTGTGTAGTGAGTGCTGTCTGGCTGTGTAGTGGGTGCTGTCTGGCTGTGTAGTGAGTGCTGTCTGGCTGTGTAGTGAGTGCTGTCTGGCTGTGTAGTGGGTGCTCTAGCTGTCTGGCTGTGTAGTGGGTGCTGTATGGCTGTGTAGTGGGTGCTGTCTGGCTGTGTAGTGGGTGCTGTCTGGCTGTGTAGTGGGTGCTGTCTGGCTGTGTAGTGGGTGCTGTATGGCTGTGTAGTGGGTGCTGTCTGGCTGTGTAGTGGGTGCTCTAGCTGTCTGGCTGTGTAGTGGGTGCTCTAGCTGTCTGGCTGTGTAGTGGGTGCTCTAGCTGTCTGGCTGTGTAGTGGGTGCTCTAGCTGTCTGGCTGTGTAGTGGGTGCTCTAGCTGTCTGGCTGTGTAGTGGGTGCTCTAGCTGTATGGCTGTGTAGTGGGTGCTGTCTGGCTGTGTAGTGGGTGCTGTATGGCTGTGTAGTGGGTGTTCTAGCTGTATGGCTGTGTAGTGGGTGCTGTATGGCTGTGTAGTGGGTGCTGTCTGGCTGTGTAGTGGGTGCTGTATGGCTGTGTAGTGGGTGTTCTAGCTGTCTGGCTGTGTAGTGAGTGCTGTCTGGCTGTGTAGTGTGTGCTGTCTGGCTGTGTAGTGGGTGCTGTATGGCTGTGTAGTGGGTGTTCTAGCTGTCTGGCTGTGTAGTGGGTGCTCTAGCTGTCTGGTTGTGTAGTGGGTGCTGTATAGCTGTGTAGTGGGTGTTCTAGCTGTCTGGTTGTGTAGTGGGTGCTGTCTGGCTGTGTAGTGGGTGTTCTAGCTGTCTGGTTGTGTAGTGGGTGCTGTCTGGCTGTGTAGTGAGTGCTGTATGGCTGTGTAGTGGGTGTTCTAGCTGTCTGGTTGTGTAGTGGGTGCTGTCTGGCTGTGTAGTGGGTGCTGTCTGGCTGTGTAGTGAGTGCTGTCTGGCTGTGTAGTGGGTGTTCTAGCTGTCTGGTTGTGTAGTGGGTGCTGTCTGGCTGTGTAGTGGGTGCTGTCTGGCTGTGTAGTGGGTGCTGTCTGGCTGTGTAGTGGGTGCTGTCTGGCTGTGTAGTGGGTGCTGTATGGCTGTGTAGTGGGTGTTCTAGCTGTATGGCTGTGTAGTGGGTGCTGTATGGCTGTGTAGTGGGTGCTGTCTGGCTGTGTAGTGGGTGCTGTATGGCTGTGTAGTGGGTGTTCTAGCTGTCTGGCTGTGTAGTGAGTGCTGTCTGGCTGTGTAGTGAGTGCTCTAGCTGTCTGGCTGTGTAGTGTGTGCTGTCTGGCTGTGTAGTGAGTGCTGTCTGGCTGTGTAGTGGGTGTTCTAGCTGTCTGGTTGTGTAGTGGGTGCTGTATGGCTGTGTAGTGGGTGTTCTAGCTGTCTGGTTGTGTAGTGGGTGCTGTCTGGCTGTGTAGTGGGTGTTCTAGCTGTCTGGTTGTGTAGTGGGTGCTGTCTGGCTGTGTAGTGGGTGCTGTCTGGCTGTGTAGTGGGTGTTCTAGCTGTCTGGTTGTGTAGTGGGTGCTGTATGGCTGTGTAGTGGGTGTTCTAGCTGTCTGGTTGTGTAGTGGGTGCTGTCTGGCTGTGTAGTGGGTGTTCTAGCTGTCTGGTTGTGTAGTGGGTGCTGTCTGGCTGTGTAGTGGGTGCTGTCTGGCTGTGTAGTGGGTGTTCTAGCTGTCTGGTTGTGTAGTGAGTGCTGTCTGGCTGTGTAGTGGGTGTTCTAGCTGTCTGGTTGTGTAGTGGGTGCTGTCTGGCTGTGTAGTGGGTGTTCTAGCTGTCTGGTTGTGTAGTGGGTGCTGTCTGGCTGTGTAGTGGGTGCTGTCTGGCTGTGTAGTGAGTGCTGTCTGGCTGTGTAGTGAGTGCTGTCTGGCTGTGTAGTGGGTGTTCTAGCTGTCTGGTTGTGTAGTGGGTGCTGTCTGGCTGTGTAGTGAGTGCTGTCTGGCTGTGTAGTGGGTGCTGTATGGCTGTGTAGTGGGTGCTCTAGCTGTATGGCTGTGTAGTGGGTGCTGTATGGCTGTGTAGTGGGTGCTGTCTGGCTGTGTAGTGGGTGCTGTCTGGCTGTGTAGTGAGTGCTGTCTGGCTGTGTACTGGGTGCTGTCTGGCTGTTTAGTGAGTGCTGTCTGGCTGTGTAGTGGGTGCTCTAGCTGTCTGGTTGTGTAGTGGGTGCTGTATGGCTGTGTAGTGGGTGCTGTCTGGCTGTGTAGTGAGTGCTGTCTGGCTGTGTAGTGGGTGCTGTATGGCTGTGTAGTGGGTGCTCTAGCTGTATGGCTGTGTAGTGGGTGCTCTAGCTGTCTGGCTGTGTAGTGAGTGCTGTCTGGCTGTGTAGTGAGTGCTCTAGCTGTCTGGCTGTGTAGTGGGTGCTGTCTGGCTGTGTAGTGAGTGCTCTAGCTGTCTGGCTGTGTAGTGGGTGCTGTCTGGCTGTGTAGTGAGTGCTGTCTGGCTGTGTAGTGGGTGCTCTAGCTGTCTGGTTGTGTAGTGGGTGCTGTATGGCTGTGTAGTGGGTGCTGTCTGGCTGTGTAGTGAGTGCTCTAGCTGTCTGGTTGTGTAGTGAGTGCTGTATGGCTGTGTAGTGGGTGCTGTCTGGCTGTGTAGTGAGTGCTGTCTGGCTGTGTAGTGGGTGCTGTCTGGCTGTGTAGTGGGTGCTGTCTGGCTGTGTAGTGGGTGCTGTATGGCTGTGTAGTGGGTGCTGTCTGGCTGTGTAGTGAGTGCTGTCTGGCTGTGTAGTGGGTGCTGTATGGCTGTGTAGTGGGTGCTCTAGCTGTATGGCTGTGTAGTGAGTGCTGTCTGGCTGTGTAGTGGGTGCTGTCTGGCTGTGTAGTGAGTGCTGTCTGGCTGTGTAGTGAGTGCTGTCTGGCTGTGTAGTGGGTGCTGTCTGGCTGTGTAGTGAGTGCTGTCTGGCTGTGTAGTGAGTGCTCTAGCTGTATGGCTGTGTAGTGGGTGCTCTAGCTGTCCGGTTGTGTAGTGAGTGCTGTCTGGCTGTGTAGTGAGTGCTCTAGCTGTCTGGCTGTGTAGTGGGTGCTCTAGCTGTCTGGTTGTGTAGTGAGTGCTCTAGCTGTCTGGCTGTGTAGTGAGTGCTGTATGGCTGTGTAGTGAGTGCTCTAGCTGTATGGCTGTGTAGTGGGTGCTCTAGCTGTCTGGCTGTGTAGTGAGTGCTGTCTGGCTGTGTAGTGAGTGCTCTAGCTGTCTGGCTGTGTAGTGGGTGCTCTAGCTGTCTGGTTGTGTAGTGAGTGCTCTAGCTGTCTGGCTGTGTAGTGAGTGCTGTATGGCTGTGTAGTGAGTGCTCTAGCTGTCTGGCTGTGTAGTGGGTGCTGTATGGTTGTGTAGTGGGTGCTCTAGCTGTCTGGCTGTGTAGTGAGTGCTCTAGCTGTGTAGTGAGTGCTCTAGCTGTGTAGTTAGTGCTCTAGCTGTGTAGTGAGTGCCATTTTAGACTTAATAAAAATGATAATAATACAAAGAAGTTTCAAAGTGTAAATTTTGGTTTTAGGAAAGGCAAGAGACTTTTTCCAAATTCTCTCAAGCTGCATCAGGTGTTTTGCTTTGTACTGTAAGTTTCTGTACTTATGCTGATTTATTTTGTTTAAATTTAGCCAATCAGTTTTTGTTACTGTTGCTGTCTGTGCCCATCACTTTTTGTACTGTTGCTGTCTGTGCCCATCACTTTTTGTACTGTTGCTGTCTGTGCCCATCACTTTTTGTACCATTGCTGTCTGTGCCCATCACTTTTTGTACCATTGCTGTCTGTGCCCATCACTTTTTGTACTGTTGCTGTGTGTGCCCATCACTTTTTGTACCATTGCTGTCTGTGCCCATCACTTTTTGTACCATTGCTGTCTGTGCCCATCACTTTTTGTACCATTGCTGTCTGTGCCCATCACTTTTTGTACCATTGCTGTCTGTGCCCATCACTTTTTCTACTGTTGCTGTCTGTGCCCATCACTACTGTTGCTGTCTGTGCCCATCACTTTTTGTACTGTTGCTGTCTGTGCCCATCACTTTTTGTACTGTTGCTGTCTGTGCCCATCACTTTTTGTACCATTGCTGTCTGTGCCCATCACTTTTTGTACCATTGCTGTCTGTGCCCATCACTTTTTGTACTGTTGCTGTGTGTGCCCATCACTTTTTGTACTGTTGCTGTCTGTGCCCATCACTACTGTTGCTGTCTGTGCCCATCACTTTTTGTACTGTTGCTGTCTGTGCCCATCACTTTTTGTACCATTGCTGTCTGTGCCAATCACTTTTTGTACCATTGCTGTCTGTGCCCATCACTTTTTGTACTGTTGCTGTCTGTGCCCATCACTTTTTGTACCATTGCTGTCTGTGCCCATCACTTTTTGTACTGTTGCTGTCTGTGCCCATCACTACTGTTGCTGTCTGTGCCTATCACTTTTTGTACTGTTGCTGTCTGTGCCCATCACTTTTTCTACTGTTGCTGTCTGTGCCCATCACTACTGTTGCTGTCTGTGCCCATCACTTTTTGTACTGTTGCTGTCTGTGCCCATCACTTTTTGTACTGTTGCTGTCTGTGCCCATCACTTTTTGTACTGTTGCTGTCTGTGCCCATCACTTTTTGTACTGTTGCTGTCTGTGCCCATCACTTTTTGTACTGTTGCTGTCTGTGCCCATCACTTTTTGTACTGTTGCTGTCTGTGCCCATCACTTTTTGTACCATTGCTGTCTGTGCCCATCACTTTTTGTACTGTTGCTGTGTGTGCCCATCACTTTTTGTACTGTTGCTGTCTGTGCCCATCACTTTTTGTACTGTTGCTGTCTGTGCCCATCAGTTTTTGTACTGTTGCTGTCTGTTTCCATCACTTTTTGTACTGTTGCTGTCTGTGCCCATCACTTTTTGTACTGTTGCTGTCTGTGCCCATCACTTTTTGTACTGTTGCTGTCTGTGCCCATCACTTTTTCTACTGTTGCTGTCTGTGCCCATCACTACTGTTGCTGTCTGTGCCCATCACTTTTTGTACTGTTGCTGTCTGTGCCCATCACTTTTTGTACTGTTGCTGTCTGTGCCCATCACTTTTTGTACTGTTGCTGTCTGTGCCAATCACTTTTTGTACTGTTGCTGTCTGTGCCCATCACTACTGTTGCTGTCTGTGCCCATCACTTTTTGTACTGTTGCTGTCTGTGCCCATCACTTTTTGTACTGTTGCTGTCTGTGCCCATCACTTTTTGTACTGTTGCTGTCTGTGCCCATCACTTTTTGTACTGTTGCTGTCTGTGCCCATCACTTTTTGTACTGTTGCTGTCTGTGCCCATCACTACTGTTGCTGTCTGTGCCCATCACTTTTTCTACTGTTGCTGTCTGTGCCCATCACTTTTTGTACTGTTGCTGTCTGTGCCCATCACTTTTTGTACTGTTGCTGTCTGTGCCCATCACTTTTTGTACTGTTGCTGTCTGTGCCCATCACTACTGTTGCTGTCTGTGCCCATCACTTTTTCTACTGTTGCTGTCTGTGCCCATCACTACTGTTGCTGTCTGTGCCCATCACTTTTTGTACCATTGCTGTCTGTGCCCATCACTTTTTGTACTGTTGCTGTGTGTGCCCATCACTTTTTGTACCATTGCTGTCTGTGCCCATCACTTTTTGTACCATTGCTGTCTGTGCCCATCACTTTTTGTACTGTTGCTGTCTGTGCCCATCACTTTTTGTACTGTTGCTGTCTGTGCCCATCACTTTTTGTACTGTTGCTGTCTGTGCCCATCACTACTGTTGCTGTCTGTGCCCATCACTTTTTGTACTGTTGCTGTCTGTGCCCATCACTTTTTGTACTGTTGCTGTCTGTGCCCATCACTTTTTGTACTGTTGCTGTCTGTGCCCATCACTTTTTCTACTGTTGCTGTCTGTGCCCATCACTTTTTGTTACTGTTGCTGTCTGTGCCCATCACTTTTTGTACTGTTGCTGTCTGTGCCCATCACTACTGTTGCTGTCTGTGCCCATCACTTTTTGTACTGTTGCTGTCTGTGCCCATCACTTTTTCTACTGTTGCTGTCTGTGCCCATCACTACTGTTGCTGTCTGTGCCCATCACTTTTTGTACCATTGCTGTCTGTGCCCATCACTTTTTCTACTGTTGCTGTCTGTGCCCATCACTTTTTGTACCATTGCTGTCTGTGCCCATCACTTTTTCTACTGTTGCTGTCTGTGCCCATCACTACTGTTGCTGTCTGTGCCCATCACTACTGTTGCTGTCTGTGCCCATCACTTTTTGTACCATTGCTGTCTGTGCCCATCACTTTTTCTACTGTTGCTGTCTGTGCCCATCACTACTGTTGCTGTCTGTGCCCATCACTACTGTTGCTGTCTGTGCCCATCACTTTTTGTACTGTTGCTGTCTGTGCCCATCACTTTTTGTACTGTTGCTGTCTGTGCCCATCACTTTTTCTACTGTTGCTGTCTGTGCCCATCACTACTGTTGCTGTCTGTGCCCATCACTTTTTCTACTGTTGCTGTCTGTGCCCATCACTTTTTGTACTGTTGCTGTCTGTGCCCATCACTTTTTGTACTGTTGCTGTCTGTGCCCATCACTTTTTGTACTGTTGCTGTCTGTGCCCATCACTTTTTGTACTGTTGCTGTCTGTGCCCATCACTTTTTGTACCATTGCTGTCTGTGCCAATCACTTTTTGTACCATTGCTGTCTGTGCCCATCACTTTTTGTACTGTTGCTGTCTGTGCCCATCACTTTTTGTACCATTGCTGTCTGTGCCCATCACTTTTTGTACTGTTGCTGTCTGTGCCCATCACTTTTTGTACTGTTGCTGTCTGTGCCCATCACTTTTTGTACTGTTGCTGTCTGTGCCCATCACTTTTTGTACTGTTGCTGTCTGTGCCCATCACTACTGTTGCTGTCTGTGCCCATCACTTTTTGTACTGTTGCTGTCTGTGCCCATCACTTTTTGTACTGTTGCTGTCTGTGCCCATCACTTTTTGTACTGTTGCTGTCTGTGCCAATCACTTTTTGTACCATTGCTGTCTGTGCCCATCACTTTTTGTACTGTTGCTGTCTGTGCCCATCACTTTTTGTACTGTTGCTGTCTGTGCCCATCACTTTTTGTACCATTGCTGTCTGTGCCCATCACTTTTTGTACTGTTGCTGTCTGTGCCCATCACTTTTTGTACTGTTGCTGTCTGTGCCCATCACTACTGTTGCTGTCTGTGCCCATCACTTTTTGTACCATTGCTGTCTGTGCCCATCACTTTTTGTACCATTGCTGTCTGTGCCCATCACTTTTTGTACCATTGCTGTCTGTGCCAATCACTTTTTGTACCATTGCTGTCTGTGCCCATCACTTTTTGTACTGTTGCTGTCTGTGCCCATCACTTTTTGTACCATTGCTGTCTGTGCCCATCACTTTTTGTACTGTTGCTGTCTGTGCCCATCACTACTGTTGCTGTCTGTGCCCATCACTACTGTTGCTGTCTGTGCCCATCACTTTTTGTACTGTTGCTGTCTGTGCCCATCACTTTTTGTACTGTTGCTGTCTGTGCCCATCACTTTTTCTACTGTTGCTGTCTGTGCCCATCACTTTTTCTACTGTTGCTGTCTGTGCCCATCACTTTTTGTACTGTTGCTGTCTGTGCCCATCACTTTTTCTACTGTTGCTGTCTGTGCCCATCACTACTGTTGCTGTCTGTGCCCATCACTTTTTGTACTGTTGCTGTCTGTGCCCATCACTTTTTGTACTGTTGCTGTCTGTGCCCATCACTTTTTGTACTGTTGCTGTCTGTGCCCATCACTTTTTGTACTGTTGCTGTCTGTTTCCATCACTTTTTGTACTGTTGCTGTCTGTGCCCATCACTTTTTGTACTGTTGCTGTCTGTGCCCATCACTTTTTGTACTGTTGCTGTCTGTGCCCATCACTTTTTCTACTGTTGCTGTCTGTGCCCATCACTACTGTTGCTGTCTGTGCCCATCACTTTTTGTACTGTTGCTGTCTGTGCCCATCACTTTTTGTACTGTTGCTGTCTGTGCCCATCACTTTTTGTACTGTTGCTGTCTGTGCCCATCACTTTTTGTACTGTTGCTGTCTGTGCCAATCACTTTTTGTACTGTTGCTGTCTGTGCCCATCACTTTTTCTACTGTTGCTGTCTGTGCCCATCACTTTTTGTACTGTTGCTGTCTGTGCCCATCACTTTTTGTACTGTTGCTGTCTGTGCCCATCACTTTTTGTACTGTTGCTGTCTGTGCCCATCACTACTGTTGCTGTCTGTGCCCATCACTACTGTTGCTGTCTGTGCCCATCACTTTTTGTACTGTTGCTGTCTGTGCCCATCACTTTTTGTACTGTTGCTGTCTGTGCCCATCACTTTTTGTACTGTTGCTGTCTGTGCCCATCACTTTTTGTACCATTGCTGTCTGTGCCCATCACTACTGTTGCTGTCTGTGCCCATCACTACTGTTGCTGTCTGTGCCCATCACTACTGTTGCTGTCTGTGCCCATCACTTTTTGTACTGTTGCTGTCTGTGCCCATCACTTTTTGTACTGTTGCTGTCTGTGCCCATCAGTTTTTGTACTGTTGCTGTCTGTTTCCATCACTTTTTGTACTGTTGCTGTCTGTGCCCATCACTTTTTGTACTGTTGCTGTCTGTGCCCATCACTTTTTGTACTGTTGCTGTCTGTGCCCATCACTTTTTCTACTGTTGCTGTCTGTGCCCATCACTACTGTTGCTGTCTGTGCCCATCACTTTTTGTACTGTTGCTGTCTGTGCCCATCACTTTTTGTACTGTTGCTGTCTGTGCCCATCACTTTTTGTACTGTTGCTGTCTGTGCCAATCACTTTTTGTACTGTTGCTGTCTGTGCCCATCACTACTGTTGCTGTCTGTGCCCATCACTTTTTGTACTGTTGCTGTCTGTGCCCATCACTTTTTGTACTGTTGCTGTCTGTGCCCATCACTTTTTGTACTGTTGCTGTCTGTGCCCATCACTTTTTGTACTGTTGCTGTCTGTGCCCATCACTTTTTGTACTGTTGCTGTCTGTGCCCATCACTACTGTTGCTGTCTGTGCCCATCACTTTTTCTACTGTTGCTGTCTGTGCCCATCACTTTTTGTACTGTTGCTGTCTGTGCCCATCACTTTTTGTACTGTTGCTGTCTGTGCCCATCACTTTTTGTACTGTTGCTGTCTGTGCCCATCACTACTGTTGCTGTCTGTGCCCATCACTTTTTGTACTGTTGCTGTCTGTGCCCATCACTTTTTGTACTGTTGCTGTCTGTGCCCATCACTTTTTGTACTGTTGCTGTCTGTGCCCATCACTTTTTGTACCATTGCTGTCTGTGCCCATCACTTTTTGTACTGTTGCTGTCTGTGCCCATCACTTTTTGTACTGTTGCTGTCTGTGCCCATCACTTTTTGTACTGTTGCTGTCTGTGCCCATCACTTTTTGTTACTGTTGCTGTCTGTGCCCATCACTTTTTCTACTGTTGCTGTCTGTGCCCATCACTTTTTGTTACTGTTGCTGTCTGTGCCCATCACTACTGTTGCTGTCTGTGCCCATCACTACTGTTGCTGTCTGTGCCCATCACTTTTTGTTACTGTTGCTGTCTGTGCCCATCACTACTGTTGCTGTCTGTGCCCATCACTTTTTGTACTGTTGCTGTCTGTGCCCATCACTTTTTGTACTGTTGCTGTCTGTGCCCATCACTACTGTTGCTGTCTGTGCCCATCACTTTTTGTTACTGTTGCTGTCTGTGCCCATCACTACTGTTGCTGTCTGTGCCCATCACTTTTTGTACTGTTGCTGTCTGTGCCCATCACTTTTTGTACTGTTGCTGTCTGTGCCCATCACTTTTTGTTACTGTTGCTGTCTGTGCCCATCACTACTGTTGCTGTCTGTGCCCATCACTTTTTGTACTGTTGCTGTCTGTGCCCATCACTTTTTGTACTGTTGCTGTCTGTGCCCATCACTTTTTGTTACTGTTGCTGTCTGTGCCCATCACTACTGTTGCTGTCTGTGCCCATCACTTTTTGTACTGTTGCTGTCTGTGCCCATCACTTTTTGTACTGTTGCTGTCTGTGCCCATCACTTTTTGTTACTGTTGCTGTCTGTGCCCATCACTTTTTCTACTGTTGCTGTCTGTGCCCATCACTACTGTTGCTGTCTGTGCCCATCACTTTTTGTACTGTTGCTGTCTGTGCCCATCACTTTTTGTACCATTGCTGTCTGTGCCCATCACTTTTTGTTACTGTTGCTGTCTGTGCCCATCACTACTGTTGCTGTCTGTGCCCATCACTTTTTGTACTGTTGCTGTCTGTGCCCATCACTTTTTGTACTGTTGCTGTCTGTGCCCATCACTACTGTTGCTGTCTGTGCCCATCACTTTTTGTACCATTGCTGTCTGTGCCCATCACTTTTTGTACCATTGCTGTCTGTGCCCATCACTTTTTGTACTACTGCTGTCTGTGCCCATCACTTTTTGTACTGTTGCTGTCTGTGCCCATCACTTTTTGTACTGTTGCTGTCTGTGCCCATCACTTTTTGTACTGTTGCTGTCTGTGCCCATCACTTTTTGTACTGTTGCTGTCTGTGCCCATCACTTTTTGTTCTGTTGCTGTCTGTGCCCATCACTTTTTGTACTGTTGCTGTCTGTGCCCATCACTTTTTCTACTGTTGCTGTCTGTGCCCATCACTTTTTGTACTGTTGCTGTCTGTGCCCATCACTACTGTTGCTGTCTGTGCCCATCACTTTTTGTACTGTTGCTGTCTGTGCCCATCACTTTTTCTACTGTTGCTGTCTGTGCCCATCACTTTTTGTACTGTTGCTGTCTGTGCCCATCACTTTTTGTACTGTTGCTGTCTGTGCCCATCACTTTTTCTACTGTTGCTGTCTGTGCCCATCACTTTTTGTACTGTTGCTGTCTGTGCCCATCACTTTTTCTACTGTTGCTGTCTGTGCCCATCACTTTTTGTACTGTTGCTGTCTGTGCCCATCACTTTTTGTACTGTTGCTGTCTGTGCCCATCACTTTTTCTACTGTTGCTGTCTGTGCCCATCACTACTGTTGCTGTCTGTGCCCATCACTTTTTGTACTGTTGCTGTCTGTGCCCATCACTTTTTCTACTGTTGCTGTCTGTGCCCATCACTTTTTGTACTGTTGCTGTCTGTGCCCATCACTACTGTTGCTGTCTGTGCCCATCACTTTTTGTACTGTTGCTGTCTGTGCCCATCACTTTTTCTACTGTTGCTGTCTGTGCCCATCACTTTTTGTACTGTTGCTGTCTGTGCCCATCACTTTTTGTACTGTTGCTGTCTGTGCCCATCACTTTTTGTACTGTTGCTGTCTGTGCCCATCACTTTTTGTACTGTTGCTGTCTGTGCCCATCACTTTTTGTACTGTTGCTGTCTGTGCCCATCACTTTTTGTACTGTTGCTGTCTGTGCCCATCACTACTGTTGCTGTCTGTGCCCATCACTTTTTGTACTGTTGCTGTCTGTGCCCATCACTTTTTGTACTGTTGCTGTCTGTGCCCATCACTTTTTGTACTGTTGCTGTCTGTGCCCATCACTTTTTGTACTGTTGCTGTCTGTGCCCATCACTTTTTCTACTGTTGCTGTCTGTGCCCATCACTACTGTTGCTGTCTGTGCCAATCACTTTTTGTACTGTTGCTGTCTGTGCCCATCACTTTTTGTTACTGTTGCTGTCTGTGCCCATCACTACTGTTGCTGTCTGTGCCCATCACTTTTTGTACTGTTGCTGTCTGTGCCCATCACTTTTTGTACTGTTGCTGTCTGTGCCCATCACTTTTTGTACCATTGCTGTCTGTGCCCATCACTTTTTGTACTGTTGCTGTCTGTGCCCATCACTTTTTGTACCATTGCTGTCTGTGCCCATCACTTTTTGTACTGTTGCTGTCTGTGCCCATCACTACTGTTGCTGTGTGTGCCCATCACTTTTTCTACTGTTGCTGTCTGTGCCCATCACTTTTTGTACCATTGCTGTCTGTGCCCATCACTTTTTGTACTGTTGCTGTGTGTGCCCATCACTTTTTGTACCATTGCTGTCTGTGCCCATCACTTTTTGTACTGTTGCTGTCTGTGCCCATCACTTTTTGTACCATTGCTGTCTGTGCCCATCACTTTTTGTACTGTTGCTGTCTGTGCCCATCACTTTTTGTACTGTTGCTGTCTGTGCCCATCACTTTTTGTACTGTTGCTGTCTGTGCCCATCACTTTTTGTACTGTTGCTGTCTGTGCCCATCACTTTTTGTACTGTTGCTGTCTGTGCCCATCACTTTTTGTACCATTGCTGTCTGTGCCCATCACTTTTTGTACTGTTGCTGTCTGTGCCCATCACTTTTTGTACTGTTGCTGTCTGTGCCCATCACTTTTTGTACTGTTGCTGTCTGTGCCCATCACTTTTTGTTACTGTTGCTGTCTGTGCCCATCACTTTTTCTACTGTTGCTGTCTGTGCCCATCACTTTTTGTACTGTTGCTGTCTGTGCCCATCACTTTTTGTACCATTGCTGTCTGTGCCCATCACTACTGTTGCTGTCTGTGCCCATCACTTTTTGTACTGTTGCTGTCTGTGCCCATCACTACTGTTGCTGTCTGTGCCCATCACTACTGTTGCTGTCTGTGCCCATCACTTTTTGTACTGTTGCTGTCTGTGCCCATCACTTTTTGTACTGTTGCTGTCTGTGCCCATCACTTTTTCTACTGTTGCTGTCTGTGCCCATCACTTTTTGTACTGTTGCTGTCTGTGCCCATCACTTTTTCTACTGTTGCTGTCTGTGCCCATCACTTTTTGTACTGTTGCTGTCTGTGCCCATCACTTTTTGTACTGTTGCTGTCTGTGCCCATCACTTTTTGTACCATTGCTGTCTGTGCCCATCACTTTTTGTACCATTGCTGTCTGCATCTAATGAAAAGAAATTGTTCAGGATGTGGCTGCCCGAGGTCTAGACCTGCCGCGAGTGGACTGGATTGTCCAATACACTCCACCAGGACCAGTGGTGGACTATGTGCACAGGGTTGGTAGAACAGCACGCGCTGGCACACAGGGGCATTCACTCTTGTTTCTCTTGCCTTCAGAGGCTGCCTATATACAGGAACTCAATAAACATAAAATAAGGTAAACATTTGAATCTCTGACCTAGTTCTTGCCATACATTGTAAATACTATATAGCCAGTACAAGTATTTTAATCTAGCCATAGACTGTATATAGCCATAGGCTGTATATAGCCATAGACTGTATATAGCCATAGACTGTATATAGCCATAGACTGTATATCGCCATAGACTGTATATAGCCATAGCTGAAGTATTTTGATCCTTTAGTCTGTCACAGCTACAGATGAGTACAGTCCTACAGCCTTTGGTAGCAAACATCAAAGACCTTCCACAAGCAGGTCATGTCAGTGCTAAGGTATTTTTTGTTTTGGCTCAGTTTGTGTGTGTGTGTGGGGGGGGGGGGGGGGTCAGTATGTGGGGGGGGGGGGAAGGTGAGTACTGTGGTGAGCTGAAAAAGTCACAGAAAATGAAATGTCATTTTCCAAAGAAATATCTATGTATCTATTCTTGTATTTACATGAATAACAAGATCTCACACCTGGGTAAATTGCAATGGTATTTTATTTTAAACAAGAAAAATGGCCCGTTGAGGAAGGATACAACGGGCGCTAGGTTGATAGTGCTGTCTATTTTCTATAAACTAAAACCAAAATCACCATCTTAATTTAATTTAACCGGAAACAAAAATGGTACTTTAATTTATACAAAATATAGTCATAGGCATATCCCTAAACCATGCACCTAATCTCATTCATGACAAAAGTCGCATTTAGAGTTTCTTTCAGGCAACTCTACTTGGGAGGAGGGGGCTTTGCCCCCCCCCCCCCCCCCCCCCCCCCCCCCACTCCAAAACATGTTTACCGTCCCATTCAACAAAATATAATTATATACTTTTTCCAGTGTCCGCCCCCTCCCAGAAAATTCTACCCCCGCCCCCGAAAATTTCAAGTACCCCCACCCCTCTCCGGGGAGGAAAAAGTCTGAAAGAAACACTGGTCGCATTTGTAGATCATACAAACTAAAGGAAGAATCTGGGCGGGGCTTCGCCCCTACCGGAAGAGATGCGTGAAAGACACATTAATTAGGCGGTAATTTTATTATAGAGTATCGATGAAGAAATTTCTTTTGCGTTGGGGAGGGGGGGGGGGCTCAGACGTTATTACGCGGGGGGTGGGGCTTCGCCCCTACCCGAAGAATTGTATGCAAGAAACTCTTCACGCAAACCACTTAGATTAGACAACATTTCCTTTTTATTATTCAATGTTTACGCGAGAATCAATGACGTCATATTACTGTGTGCTCTCTCTGGTTTGAGATTATTTTCTACTCTATGCTAAATGTGACCGCGTTATACTTCGTTTTTCGAATTACTGTGCATGTTTTTATTTTGCTTGTGTTTTCTCTACAGCGTTCTTGTCAGATAGATAGATAGATAGACAGACAGCGAAACTATTATATAGAATAATGTATTTATAAAATTTAATTTAAAATAGCAAACATGGCAACCACAAATTTTGTTAGATAGTACACATCAAGTATAAAACAATTAAAAGTAATGTAATAGGGTTGTTCTTGAATTTACCTGGTGGGTGGAGCTTATGTCCCTGGTGGGTGGGGCTTAAGTCCCTGGTGGCTGGGGCTTATGTCCCTGGTGGGTGGAGCTTATGTCCCTGGTGGGTGGGGCTTATGTCCCTGGTGGGTGGGGCTTAAGTCCCTGGTGGGTGGGGCTTAAGTCCCTGGTGGGTGGGGCTTAAGTCCCTGGTGGGTGGGGCTTAAGTCCCTGGTGGGTGGAATGATGTAGATTGGAAAGTGGATCTGTTTGTTTTGGGGAGGGGGTGCGTCTACTTGTTGGGGATGTAGGGGAAGGTTGGGGGGTGGGGATTTTAGATTTAGATCTATTATATAGATCAACCTATCAAAACATGCTAATTTATACAATTTTCTCTGCCAAAAATTATAAAAATAAGTTTAAAAAACAACCAAAATACCATTGAATAGCCTGATTTTTAAATGAATCATTTAAGTCACTGAATCAGTGTGGGCATTAAATTGGGTTAGGGTTGTGTTGACTAATAATGTATATAATTTTATTTTAATTTTTCTAATAGGCAATTGTAGCTTATGTTATATTAAAATAGTTAAATGTTTAGGATTTTTGGCTATTGTTTCTTTGCTTTGTCACTCATATTGTTCAATGTATAATAAAGCACATTGTATTTTGACCAAGAACTATTTTATATAATACTTTTCTCAAACAAGTATAAAATTTTAAAATATAGGCCTATAAATATAATTCACGGGTAATGGATACTGATGGCTAGTAGTGGACCGTTGGGGGTGGGGGATGTAGTGGAAGGTTGGGGGTGGGGGATGTAGTGGAAGGTTTGGGGTGGGGGATGTAGTGGAAGGTTGGGGGTGGGGGATGTAGTGGAAGGTTGGGGGTGGGGGATGTAGTGGAAGGGTGGGGGATGTAGTGGAAGGTTGGGGGTGGGGATGTAGTGGAAGGTTTGGGGTGGGGGATGTAGTGGAAGGTTGGGGGTGGGGGATGTAGTGGAAGGTTGGGGGTGGGGGATCTAGTGGAAGGTTGGGGGTGGGGGATGTAGTGGAAGGTTTGGGGTGGGGGATGTAGTGGAAGGTTTGGGGTGGGGGATGTAGTGGAAGGTTTGGGGTGGGGGATGTAGTGGAAGGTTTGGGGTGGGGGATGTAGTGGAAGGTTTGGGGTGGGGGATGTAGTGGAAGGTTGGGGGTGGGGGATGTAGTGGAAGGTTGGGGGTGGGGGATGTAGTGGAAGGTTGGGGGTGGGGGATGTGGTGGAAGGTTGGGGGTGGGGGATGTAGTGGAAGGTTGGGGGTGGGGGATGTAGTGGAAGGTTGGGGGTGGGGGATGTAGTGGAAGGTTGGGGGTGGGGGATGTAGTGGAAGGTTGGGGGTGGGGGATGTAGTGGGAGGTTGGGGGTGGGGATGTAGTGGAAGGTTGGGGGTGGGGGATATAGTGGAAGGTTGGGGGTGGGGGATATAGTGGAAGGTTGGGGGTGGGGGATGTAGTGGAAGGTTGGGGGTGGGGATGTAGTGGAAGGTTGGGGGTGGGGATGTAGTGGAAGGTTGGATATCCCCCTGGCCAGATGTACAGTAGTTTTTTTCTATTTTTAGCATCCCAGTCCCAGAACCCAAGAAGAAGCAGCAACATTTCTCCAGGACAGGTTTGAGGAGCTTGTGCTGGCTCATAAGACAATTCATGGACTGGCAGGAAAAGGTAACTCACCTGCACTAGAGGACTGTGCTATATGTTTTGATAGAATTTCTTATCTTTGCTTAACCCCTTAATGCCTAAAAAACTTGTTGTGCTGATTTTCTCTCATACTTGAGGTATATAGTTTTCTTTTAAAGTTTGGACTTATTTTTTATGATAATTATTGAATATCATGCGACATCAGGCACTAATACACCAAACAGTAATTAAAATTTATTTTTTTAGTCAGGGTGATTTTATTATTTTTAACTCACATGTCTTTCTATAAAAATCCACACTCAAACAATAGAATATCTTGACTTGACCCTCTTTGCTCCTTATGGAATATCACAAACTAAATATCCACACTCAAACAATAGAATATCACAAACTAAAATGTGAATAAAGGCCTCCGTGCCTACTATCGTTACCGTTATTGAATAAATTGTAAAATTCATGAAAACTATAGTTTTAGTGCTTCAGACATAGTTACATAACTCTGCTGCACCTGCTGACTGTCTAACTCTTATTGTTGGGTATTTTGATGTCATGGTTCTAATCCTCTACAGTAACACACAACATATGAAACAACTTCCCCAATGTGTAGAGCCTTAGTTGTCCTTGGTTACTACAGTAACACACAACATATGAAACAACTTCCCCAATGTGTAGAGCCTTAGTTGTCCTTGGTTACTACAGTAACACACAACATATGAAACAACTTCCCCAATGTGTACAGCCTTAGTTGTCCCTGGTTACACCCTTTTCTTGAACTCCTATTCAAGGTCAACTAATGAAAACTCAATTTTCACATTTGACCTAAGTTTGCTATAGACACAGAGCACAAGAACAAATTCTGTCCTAAATGCCTTTGTTTATTCTTACATGCTCAATGCAGCTGCTGTAGGTACTCAGTGCCACTGGTGTAGGTACTCAGTGCCACTGGTGTAGGTACTCAGTGCCACTGGTGTAGGTACTCAGTGCCACTGGTGTAGGTACTCAGTGCCACTGGTGTAGGTACTCAGTGCCACTGGTGTAGGTACTCAGTGCCACTGGTGTAGGTACTCAGTGCCACTGGTGTAGGTACTCAGTGCCACTGGTGTAGGTACTCAGTGCCACTGGTGTAGGTACTCAGTGCCACTGGTGTAGGTACTCAGTGCCACTGGTGTAGGTACTCAGTGCCACTGGTGTAGGTACTCAGTGCCACTGGTGTAGGTACTCAGTGCCACTGGTGTAGGTACTCAGTGCCACTGGTGTAGGTACTCAGTGCCACTGGTGTAGGTACTCAGTGCCACTGGTGTAGGTACTCAGTGCCACTGGTGTAGGTACTCAGTGCCACTGGTGTAGGTACTCAGTGCCACTGGTGTAGGTACTCTCGGTATTGTTGTTGGTATCCAATGTTTCTGCTTTTGGTACCATGTGCTACTGTTGTGGTACTCGAATGATATTGCTATGGATACCCAATGACAGTGCTGTACCTACTTAGTGTGGGTACTCAGTGTTACTGCTGTACCTACTTAGTGTGGGTACTCTGTGTTACTGCTGTACCTACTTAGTGTGGGTACTCTGTGTTACTGCTGTACCTACTTAGTGTGGGTACTCTGTGTTACTGCTGTACCTACTTAGTGTGGGTACTCTGTGTTACTGCTGTACCTACTTAGTGTGGGTACTCTGTGTTACTGCTGTACCTACTTAGTGTGGGTACTCTGTGTTACTGCTGTACCTACTTAGTGTGGGTACTCAGTGTTACTGCTGTACCTACTTAGTGTGGGTACTCTGTGTTACTGCTGTACCTACTTAGTGTGGGTACTCTGTGTTACTGCTGTACCTACTTAGTGTGGGTACTCAGTGTTACTGCTGTCAGTTCTTGGTTTCAGTGCTGGTGCTGCAGGTACTCATCCTTAGCTGTGTGTACTCAATAACACTGCTGTCTGTACTAAATGCCAGTATAATGCCACTGATGTGGCTATTCAATAGCACTGCATTGGGTAGTTTTGTCACTATTTAACCCTACTGTATTTATAACGAAGTCTATGCTCAGTGTTATTATTGTCACGGTAACTGTGATGACCTTTCTTTGGGGGTACCCAGGATAGTGGTCCACCACCTCACTTCCTGTTGACTATTTATTTTTTCATCCTATTCAGCTATACCCGCTATTTTAATCATACTTGACCAATTGACAGTTTGGCCAGGCATCCTATTCAGCTATACTTGCTCGGCACTCTGGTACAATTTGATGTCTTGTTGCAGCGACTTCCTAAATTATTCTCAAATGTGATTGATACTGTTTATAAACTAGAAAGAGTGAATAATAAAGCTATTAGTATTTTTTGTAATAAAAAACAGACCATCTATTGAGGTAATAATAATCAATGTAAGTAGGCTGAATTCACGAAGTACAAAAATTGACGAGTGTCAAGAGAGTGTGACGTCATACATTTTGACTTGACAATGTGACCTTGGATGTACCCAATACACAACGACAAGCAGCAGTAGGATAAATGTACCTATGCTCATGCTAAACAACAGTCAGCGTTAAGGGATTAAGATTAAGCTATATATAGAGTATTTGTTGCTTCATTTGGTTGTACAACAACATCTTGTGGTTGTACATCTTGTGGTTTATGATTGTTGGTGGATTGGGTTAAGATTGTTGGTGGATTGGGTTATAATTGTTGGTGGATTGGGTTATGATTGTTGGTGGATTGGGTTATGATTGTTGGTGGATTGGGTTATGATTGTTGGTGGATTGGGTTATAATTGTTGGTGGATTGGGTTATGATTGTTGGTGGATTGGGTTATGATTGTTGGTGGATTGGGTTATGATTGTTGGTGGATTGGGTTATGATTGTTGGTGGATTGGGTTATGATTGTTGGTGGATTGGGTTATGATTGTTGGTGGATTGGGTTATGATTGTTGGAAGATTGAGTTGTTGTATAATTGTATCATGTGATAGACTTTGTTTCAGGGTTCCAGTCATTTGTCAAAGCTTATGCCACACTTGGCAGGGAACTCAAGGACATTTTTAAAGTCAATGACCTTCACCTTGGCCATGTAGCCAAGAGTTTTGCCCTAAGAGAAGCACCAACATCAGTTCATAGTGTTGCAGCCAGGTCTGGAGCGGATCACAAATTGGCCAAAAGAGGGTAAGTTAGCACCGTCAAACCCTGGCCATTCTGTTTTACAACTGGCCAAAAGAGGGTAAGTTAGCACCGTCAAACCCAGGCCATTCTGTTAGTTTTACAACTGGCCAAAAGAGGGTAAGTTAGCACCGTCAAACCCAGGCCATTCTGTTAGTTTTACAACTGGCCAAAAGAGGGTAAGTTAGCACCGTCAAACCCAGGCCATTCTGTTAGTTTTACAACTGGCCAAAAGAGGGTAAGTTAGCACCATCAAACCCAGGCCATTCTGTTTTACAACTGGCCAAAAGAGGGTAAGTTAGCACCGTCAAACCCAGGCCATTCTGTTCGTTTTACAACTGGCCAAAAGAGGGTAAGTTAGCACCATCAAACCCAGGCCATTCTGTTAGTTTTACAACTGGCCAAAAGAGGGTAAGTTAGCACCGTCAAACCTTGGCCATTCTGTTTTACAACTGGCCAAAAGAGGGTAAGTTAGCACCGTCAAACCCAGGCCATTCTGTTAGTTTTACAACTGGCCAAAAGAGGGTAAGTTAGCACCGTCAAACCCAGGCCATTCTGTTAGTTTTACAACTGGCCAAAAGAGGGTAAGTTAACACCATCAAACCCAGGCCATTCTGTTAGTTTTACAACTGGCCAAAAGAGGGTAAGTTAGCACCGTCAAACCTTGGCCATTCTGTTTTACAACTGGCCAAAAAAAGGGTAAGTTAGCACCGTCAAACCCAGGCCATTCTGTTAGTTTTACAACTGGCCAAAAGAGGGTAAGTTAGCAATGTCAAACCCAGGCCATTCTGTTAGTTTTACAACTGGCCAAAAGAGGGTAAGTTAGCAATGTCAAACCCAGGCCATTCTTTTAGTTTTACAACCCCCCTCTGCTAACTCCAAATGTTAGTTTTACAACCACCCTCTGCTAACTCCAAATGTTAGTTTTACAACCACCCTCTGCTAACTCCAAATGTTAGTTTTACAACCACCCTCTGCTAACTCCAAATGTTAGTTTTACAACCACCCTCTGCTAACTCCAAATGTTAGTTTTACAACCACCCTCTGCTAACTCCAAATGTTAGTTTTACAACCACCCTCTGCTAACTCTAAATGTTAGTTTTACAACCACCCTCTGCTAACTCCAAATGTTAGTTTTACAACCACCCTCTGCTAACTCCAAATGTTAGTTTTACAACCACCCTCTGCTAACTCCAAATGTTAGTTTTACAACCACCCTCTGCTAACTCCAAATGTTAGTTTTACAACCACCCTCTGCTAACTCCAAATGTTAGTTTTACAACCACCCTCTGCTAACTCCAAATGTTAGTTTTACAACCACCCTCTGCTAACTCCAAATGTTAGTTTTACAACCACCCTCTGCTAACTCCAAATGTTAGTTTTACAACCACCCTCTGCTAACTCCAAATGTTTCTCCCACAGGAAGCGACCTCTGACCTTTAGGCAGGCAACATTAAGTGAATATTCTGATGGCCTTGGCAATGATAAGGTCATGGCCAAGCTAGGAACTAAAGAACCACCAAAAAAAAAAAAAAGGTTGTCAGCACTAAGTAGCTAGTGATTCCTGGGATTTTGTTCAGCTTGTAAAATAAATAAATTTGAATGCTGTAAAAAATACAAATATGTTTGTTTTTTACTTGCCTTGCAATGTGTGTTTTGTGTTTTAAACAGTTAAACACCCTTAGGAGTTTCTACTTGGCAGCTAAAAAGAAGTCACAAGTTTTTATCTTTTTAAAACATAGATTTGTTTCTAGAATATTTTCTGAGCTTGAACCTCATTTGAATAATAAAACTAAAATCAAACTAATGATAATAAATTAGAACCAATCGCGTGTCTTGTGGATATAATATATACCATATGGATATAATATATACCATATGGATATAATATATACCATTTGGATAGAAGAATCGAATCGCGCCCTACGGGGGTGAGATTCCTGCCACTTTGAAATTGAATTTTTCGCAGGAACCTCCACGTGAGTATTTTCAACAACTTCCCAAAGTTACATGGCGACGTGATGAACGGTGTAGTAATGCACAAAAGACAACACATACACACACACACTGCTATATATATATATAGAGAGAGAGATAGATAGATTTAGGCCTGAAATAGGCCTAGTTTAGAAACTCAATATTGGCCTAGATAAAGAATCTAGATAGAGCTAGATTTAGAATCTACGGCTGGCTAAAAAGCCTCGAAGTCTAATTTATCCACAGCTTTAAAATAATTTGAGTAGGCCTACGCTTCAGTTAGGTACAGAATTCCTTGTATTCTCGAGTTAGATGATCTGTAAAGCTAAAAAGCAAAGATTTATATTAAATATATAAGGACTAAAATAGTTTAAATAAAGCGACTCAATTATTTATTGTGTTTTTATGTTGTATTACTTATTGTTGTATGTTATTCTTTTTAACAAGATTTCATTATTTTTGGTTTGGCCTTAAAGTTTATTTCTGGTATAAGTTGCCTTGTATTTGGATCAATTCCTATACGTTTCCAGTGAAGTAACGCAAGTCCCTGGGTGGAGAGAAAGAAGAGCAACGGAAAAAAAGAAACGAAAAAAAAAGCGCAAAAAATTGCGCGACAGAAAATTGCGCAAACGGAAAAATGCGTAAATAAGAAAATACATTTACACACACAGATCTTCATCCATTATGAGTGTGACTATATATATATATATATATATATATATATATATATATATATATATATATATATATATATATATATATATATATATACTTTTGAAAAACTAAAAGTAGAATAAGTTCCACTTCCGATTATCGGAAATGGCTGAAAAATTGCAAAACTAAGTTATTCCTACTCAGGGACGCGTAAAACGTCGAGATTTATGAAAATCTCTTTTTTTTTTTTTTTTTTTTTTTTTTTTTTTTTTTTTTTTTTGCAGATTACAATACTTCCTCTATATTTCGTATTCGAGAAACTAAAAAGGTGAGCAAAGTTTCCCTTATTTATATTTTCCGTTCTATTCTATAGGCCTACACCAGGGGTCGGCAACCTTTTGAAACGAAAGAGCCAAAAGTTACAATTTTATTATTTGGTTAGGATTGGGTAAACAAATTTGAAACATACACTTGTTTTGCCAGAATAATGATATTAGTAATCAAAAAATAAAAATATAGGACTATCCCAATCCACTTTAGAAGCTGTTAATTTAAAAAAAAAACAACTTTTTTTTTACGGATAACCTTTTTACGCTGTCTCCCATAGCCAGGCAGGCCCAACACGGCAAACTCCGACTAACTGGCTTGGGTATCGGTTTGATTACCGTGTATCAGTCACTTTTGTCATTCAGTTCTCACCAGGCTTATCTTCCACCCCACTGAACACAGGGTAAACTCGTACCCCACCGTCCTGTACCCGGCTCAACAGTAGGAAGCTAATAATAACTACGTCACTCACGTCAAATTAATGATCACTGACGGATAGGAAAATGCATTCTAAATTAACATTCTCCAATTAACGACATTCGAAAAAGCCAGCACTTGGGCAGTGACAAGCATGGAATTGTTGTCACAAGGCTGAGTGTTTTTATCCTGTTTAAACGTGTGTATCCTTACAGTATAATTTTTGTTATGAGTTTTGAAAATTAAATAATATAACTATTAATATTTGTGCAAGGAGCTGGAGAGCCGCATCGTGACACCAAAAAGAGCCGCATGCGGCTCGCGAGCCGCAGGTTGCCGACCCCTGGCCTACACAGCTTGCGTTTAATAAAAACGATAGGCATGAAAATTTCCAAATTGTTCCACTTGGTTGTTGCCAGAAAGCATATTTTTTCAACTGAATTTGAATATTTTATGTTTGTGTAATACGTATAAAATGACTACCGCTTTTACCAAGGCTAGAAATATTCAAACAAATAATTTCTAGAGATATAATAGTATTTTAGCTAACACTTTTTAAAATTAGTATAGTCAAGGTATTGCGGTGATAAGGGATGTTATATTATCTAATATATAAAGCTGGAACGGACTCTGTATTGGCGGGCTGACAGCGGGCAGTCATGCATAGAGTAAAAAACTTGACTTCATCGCCATTGTGTAATACTTTTAAAGTGTTTATTATATAACTATATGATTAAAAAATAAACATCGATAGTTTTGTAAAACAGGTTTCCAATCTTATCAATTTAATTAACGTCATTTAGAATGTACACAAGAAAAATGTATCACTATTAACAAAAACTTAAATTGCGTCTGAAATGACTTCCTTTTGTTCCTTTATTGCCAATTACTTTCCTTGAAAGATCACGGAAAAACAATTCTCTTTTAAAAAAAAAACATTACATCAGGGAAAAAATACTTTTTATTAGTTTGTTTTGGTGTTGGAAAAAAAATAATTATATAAATTAGCATTGATTGATACAGTGCACTGTGGTAAGTAAAACTCGGATATTTTAAATACAGCCTTTTGTTTATTTTATTCACTGAATTTACTGTTTACTTATTATTATTTTTAATCAATAACAGTTGAGTAGCCGCTCCTAAATGTCCTCTATGTTTACTTCTATCTTTCGGTTTGCGGAAAAGCTTGGGGTATTATAGTCGTTCACTAAATTGAATCAGGCACGTCCGCCGGCGCACCGGCATGGTTCGATTTGTTGCCCTGAGCTATCTTGTGAGCGCTATGGTGCATACGTTCGCTTTAAACAGTGCGATAGACTATGGATAAGAAGGGTTACTATAGTCCTTCACTAAATCGTCACAGCGTCCTCAGGCGCCCCAACAGAATGCTATTTGGCATTTTAAAATTGGAGGTGTTATCCCCTTACTGTTATATAAAAATATACGAGAAAGTTTAGGGGAGATCACTCCCATTTAAAAAAAAAAACAACTTCCATTCAAAAATCTTCAAACAAAAGAAACCATATTGGAATAAATACATTTGAATAATTTCGTATTTTTTTACTCTTGAAAAAATTCAGTCAAATTTAGTAACGTAGACATGTCGACCACACTAACCCTAACCACGACCGGTACTCCTCCCCAACGATCCATCATGCACTTGTCCCCCAGGTAACCCTCTACTCCCCAGCTAAACATGGAACCCACTAATCCTGGTGGAACCCACCAATCCTCAAGGACCCCCCCCCCCCCCATGGAACTCACTAATCCTCTAGGAACCCACTAATGGTGGAACCCACTAATCCTCAAGGAACCCCCCATGGAACCCAATAATCCTGGTGGAACCCACTAATCCTCAAGAAACCTAACATGGAACCCATTAATCCTTAAAAGAATCCACTACTCCTCAAGAAACCCACTAGTCTGGGTTCTGTTCCTCTGCTGGCGCCTCCTCCGTTGCCTCTATGGTAGACTCCTGCCTCTCCATGTCCGCCACCGTCTCCTCCTCGGGCTCGGTGGGCGCCGTGATGGCTGGCACCACGTCCTCGTTCACATCGGCACCCTCTGCCAGGATCTCAAGCGTCACCCTCTCGGCCTCTTCTCTGGCCCACTTGGCAGCCTCGGCCTGCTGACGTCGTATCTCTGCTTCCTTCCTGGCAGCGATCTGCGGACACGTCAGAACAGTATGGCGTCATTCAGTCACCGCGGGCACGTCAGTACAGTATGACGTCATTCAGTCACCGCGGGCACGTCAGTACAGCATGACGTCATTCAGTCACCGCGGGCACGTCAGTACAGTATGACGTCATTCAGTCACCGCGGGCACGTCAGTACAGCATGACGTCATTCAGTCACCGCGGGCTCGTCAGTACAGCATGACGTCATTCAGTCACCGCGGGCACGTCAGTACAGCATGACGTCATTCAGTCACCGCGGGCACGTCAGTTTAGCATGACGTCATTTAGTCGAGTTTTTGTGTGTTTGCAAGTACAAACTTCAGTTTATTTAACACGATAGTGCCTTATTCTTTTAAGGATAAGCACAATACGCTTGGTGCTTATTTCGGTCAATGGTGATCTATATTTAGCTTTTATTTATAGACACTTTTCAAATCTTTGAACGGAAGTTCCTGCACAGTCCCACTTTGCTAAATATATCTATGCATATAAATAGATACATATCTATCATCGTTGATCAAAATATTAGTTTCTAGACTAAGACTAACCCTAACATAACCAACTGAGCCTAACCTAACGAACCTAACCCTAACCTAACCCTAACCCTAACCTAACCCTAACCTAACCTAACCAATCCTAACCTAACCTAACCTAACCTAACCTAACCTAACCTAACCTAACCTAACCTAACCTAACCTAACCTAACCTAACCTAACCTAACCTAACCTAACCTAACCTAACCTAACCTAACTTAACTTAACTTAACTTAACTTAACTTAACTTAACCTAACTAACATGAGCCTAACCTAACAAACCTGAGCCTAACTTAACTAACCTGAGCCTAACCTAACTAACCTGAGCCTAACCTAACTAACCTGAGCCTAACTAACCTGAGCCTAACCTAACTAACCTGAGCCTAACCTAACTAACCTGAGCCTAACCTAACTAACCTGAGCCTAACCTAACTAACCTGAGCCTAACTAACCTGAGCCTAACTAACCTGAGCCTAACCTAACTAACCTGAGCCTAACCTAACTAACCTGAGCCTAACTAACCTGAGCCTAACTAACCTGACCCTAACCTAACTAACCTGAGCCTAACTAACCTGAGCCTAACCTAACTAACCTGAGCCTAACCTAACTAACCTGAGCCTAACCTAACTAACCTGAGCCTAACCTAACTAACCTGAGCCTTACCTAACTAACCTGAGCCTAACCTAACTAACCTGAGCCTAACCTAACTAACCTGAGCCTAACCTAACTAACCTGAGCCTAACCTAACTAACCTGAGCCTAACCTAACTAACCTGAGCCTAACCTAACTAACCTGAGCCTAACCTAACTAACCTGAGCCTAACCTTACTAACCTGAGCCTAACCTAACTAACCTGAGCCTAACCTAACTAACCTGAGCCTAACCTAACTAACCTGAGCCTAACCTAACTAACCTGAGCCTAACTAACTAACCTGAGCCTAACTAACCTGAGCCTAACCTAACTAACCTGAGCCTAACCTAACTAACCTGAGCCTAACTAACCTGAGCCTAACTAACCTGAGCCTAACTAACCTGAGCCTAACTAACCTGAGCCTAACTAACCTGAGCCTAACTAACCTGAGCCTAACTAACCTGAGCCTCTACTGTAGCACGAAGGGCGTTGAGCTCATCAACCAGCCTTGCTTCCTCTTCCTCTTCTGGGGTCATCACGTGTAACCCGGTCAATGACCCGGCCTCAAAGTGGGTCGGTCCTGACAGAGGTAAACAATTTAACCGTAGGTCAAACTTCTTGACCCAAGTCAAGTCAATGGTTGACTTAAGTCAATGTTTCACCCAAGTCTAGTCAATGTTTGACCCAAGACAAGTCAATGTTTGACCCAAGTCAAGTCAATGTTTGACCCAAGTCAAGTCAATGTTTGACCCAAGACAAGTCAATGTTTGACCCAAGTCAAGTCAATGTTTGACCCAAGTCAAGTCAATGTTTGACCCAAGTCAAGTCAATGTTTGACCCAAGTCAAGTCAATGTTTGACCCAAGTCAAGTCAATGTTTGACCCAAGTCAAGTCAATGTTTGACCCAAGTCAAGTCAATGTTTGACCCCAGTCAATGTTTGACCCAAGTCAAGCCAATGTTTGACCCAAGTCAAGTCAATGTTTGACCCAAGTCAAGTCAATGTTTGACCCCAGTCAATGTTTGACCCAAGTCAAGCCAATGTTTGACCCAAGTCAAGTCAATGTTTGACCCAAGTCAATGTTTGACCCAAGTCAAGTCAATGTTTGACCCAAGTCAAGTCAATGTTTGACCCAAGTCAAGTGAATGTTTGACCCAAGTCAATGTTTGACCCAAGTCAATGTTTGACCCAGGTCAAGTCAATGTTTGACCCAAGTCAAGTCAATGTTTGACCCAAGTCAATGTTTGACCCAAGTCAATGTATGACCCAAGTCAAGTCAATGTTTGACCCAAGTCAATGTTTGACCCAAGTCAATGTTTGACCCAAGTCAAGTCAATGTTTGACCCAAGTCAAGTCAATGTTTGACCCAAGGCAATGTTTGGCCCAAGTCAATGTTTGACCCAAGTCAAGTCAATGTTTGACCCAAGTCAAGCCAATGTTTGACCCAAGTCAAAGTTTGACCAGTGACCAACCTATTGGTGGCGGTGAGGGTGGCATCCTTAAGGTTTGCTCCGCCATGTCATCCATGAACTCGTCTTCTCCAGGCGCTCTGTCCTGCTCGTCGAGTATAACGAGGGCGGCCTCTTGGGCCAGGTCCATCAGTCCGGAGAGCTCGTCCTTGTTGTCCAGCACGTACTGACCATGCAGCTCGCAGGCCACGTCAAACACGAACTTGCCGTAGCCGAACATCTGGCGAGAGAAACAGCACGTGTGGCAGGGGTTGTGAGGTACATGTGCCGGCTAGTAAGGTTCAAGTGCCGGCTGGTAAGGTACAAGTGCCGGCTAGTAAGGTACATGTGCCGGCTGGTAAGGTTCAAGTGCCGGCTGGTAAGGTACATGTGCCGGCTAGTAAGGTACATGTGCCGGCTGGTAAGGTTCAAGTGCCGGCTGGTAAGGTACATGTGCCGGCTAGTAAGGTACAAGTGCCGGCTAGTAAGGAACATGTGCCGGCTAGTAAGGAACATGTGCCGGCTAGTAAGATGAAAGTGCCGGCTGGTAAGGTTCAAGTGCCGGCTAGTAAGGTACATGTGCCGGCTAGTAAGATGAAAGTGCCGGCTGGTAAGGTTCAAGTGCCGGCTAGTAAGGTACAAGTGCCGGCTGGTAAGGTTCAAGTGCCGGCTAGTAAGGTACAAGTGCCGGCTGGTAAGGTACATGTGCCGGCTAGTAAGGTTCAAGTGCCGGCTGGTGAGGTACAAGTGCCGGCTAATAAGGTGCAAGTGCCGGCTGGTAAAGTACATGTGCCGGCTAGTAGGGTGCAAGTGCCGGCTGGTAAGGTACAAGTGCCGGCTGGTAAATTACAAGTGCCGGCTGGTAAGGTACAAGTGCCGGCTAGTAAGGTGCAAGTGCCGGCTGGTAAAGTTCAAGTGCCGGCTGGTAAGGTTCAAGTGCCGGCTTGAAAGGTACAAGTGTCGGCTAGTTAGGTACATGTGCCGGCTATTGAGGTAGGCTACAAATGACGGCCAGGGCATACAATGAACCTACCTTGTTGTCCCTGAACCTGCCACAGTACTTGTAGTTGCAGTAATGAAACTCGCCAAAACCTTCCCACTTCCCTTTCCACCAGGAGCCACTGTGAATAAAGATTGAAGTTTGTAGGGTTAAAGTTAGGGATTAGGGTTCAGGTTAGGAATTAGGATCCAGATTAGGGTTAAGGATTATGGTTAAGGATTAAAGTTTAGGTTAGGTATTAGGGTTAAGGGAGGTTGGGGATTAGCTTTTAAATATCATTAAAATTGTCAGTTTAAGAAAAATCAAAATAAGCTCCCGTTAAAGCACAATGCCACGGACACATTAACCCACGGACACATTAACCCACGGACACATTAACCCACGGACACATTAACCCACGGACACATTAACCCACGGACACATTAACCCACGGACACATTAACCCACGGACACATTAACCCATGGACACATTAACCCACGGACACATTAACCCACTGACACATTAACCCACGGACACTTTAGCCACGGACACATTAACCCACGGACACATTAACCCACGGACACATTAACCCACGGACACATTAACCCACGGACACATTAACCCATGGACACATTAACCCACGGACACATTAACCCACTGACACATTAACCCACGGACACTTTAGCCACGGACACATTAACCCACGGACACATTAACCCACGGACACATTAACCCACGGACACTTTAGCCACGGACACATTAACCCACGGACACATTAACCCACGGACACATTAACCCACGGACACATTAACCCACGGACACATTAACCCACGGACACATTAACCCACGGATACATTAACCCACGGACAAATTAACCCACGGAAACATTAACCCACTCACACATTAACCCACTTACACATTAACCCACGGACACATTAACCCACTGACACATTAACCCACGGACACTTTAGCCACGGACACATTAACCCACGGACACATTAACCCACGGACACATTAACCCACGGACACATTAACCCACGGACACATTAACCCACGGACACATTAACCTTCTGATACTCACACATATTTTGTACCGTTGGCATATGTGTATGTGCCCTTGCCATGCCTCAGTCCCTTGCTCCAATCGCCCGAGTAAGTGTCGCCGTTGACATAAAAATATTTGCCCGGCCCTTCCTTCAGGTCGTCCACCCAGTTGCCCTCGTACCGCGAGCCATCGGGGTAGACAAACTTTCCCTGGGTGGTCAAATCATGGGGCATCTCACACAACAGGGCACCATACAAAACAGGGCATCACACAACAAGGCATCACACAACAGGGCACCATACACAACAGGGCATCACACAACAGGGCATCACACAACAGGGCATATCACACAACAGGGCACCATACACAACAGGGCATCACACAACAGGGCACCACACAACAGGGCATCTCACACAACAGGGCATATCACAACAGGGCACCACACACAACAGGGCATCACACAACAGGGCATCACACAACAGGGCATATCACACAACAGGGCACCATACACAACAGGGCATCACACAACAGGGCATCACACAACAGGGCATCTCACACAACAGGGCAGCATACACAACAGGGCATCTCACACAACAGGGCACCACACACAACAGGGCATCTCACACAACAGGGCATCACACAACAGGGCATATCACACAACAGGGCATCTCACAACAGGGCACCACACACAACAGGGCACCACACACAACAGGGCATCACACAACAGGGCACCACACAACAGGGCATCACACAACAGGGCATCACACAACAGGGCATCACACAACAGGGCACCACACACAACAGGGCACCATACACAACAGGGCATCACACAACAGGGCACCATACACAACAGGGCATCACACAACAGGGCACCATACACAACAGGGCATATCACACAACAGGGCATCTCACAACAGGGCATCTCACAACAGGGCACCACACACAACAGGGCACTACACACAACAGGGCACCATACACAACAGGGCATCTCACACAACAGGGCACCACACACAACAGGGCATCTCACACAACAGGGCACCATACACAACAGGGCATCTCACAACAGGGCACCACACACAACAGGGCACCACACAAAACAGGGCATCACACAACAGGGCATCACACAACAGGGCACCATACACAACAGGGCATCACACAACAGGGCATCACACAACAGGGCACCACACACAACAGGGCATCACACAACAGGGCACCATACACAACAGGGCATCACACAACAGGGCATCACACAACAGGGCATCACACAACAGGGCACCACACACAACAGGGCACCATACACAACAGGGCATCTCACAACAGGGCACCACACACAACAGGGCACCACACACAACAGGGCACCATACACAACAGGGCATCACACAACAGGGCATCACACAACAGGGCACCACACACAACAGGGCATCACACAACAGGGCATATCACACAACAGGGCAAATCACACAACAGGGCATATCACACAACAGGGCACCATACACAACAGGGCATATCACACAACAGGGCAGGACACAAAACAGGGGCATCAACTGACTGCTGTAAATGACTCACAAAGCCTTACACGCCACTCACAAAGCCCTACACGCCACTCACAAAGCCCTACACGCCACTCACAAAGCCCTACACGCCACTCACAAAGCCCTACACGCCACTCACAAAGCCCTACACGCCACTCACAAAGCCCTACACGCCACTCACAAAGCCCTACACGCCACTCACAAAGCCCTACACGCCACTCACAAAGCCCTACACGCCACTCACAAAGCCCTACACGCCACTCACAAAGCCCTACACGCCACTCACAAAGCCCTACACGCCACTCACAAAGCCCTACACGCCACTCACAAAGCCCTACACGCCACTCACAAAGCCCTACACGCCACTCACAAAGCCCTACACGCCACTCACAAAGCCCTACACGCCACTCACAAAGCCCTACACGCCACTCACAAAGCCCTACACGCCACTCACAAAGCCCTACACGCCACTCACAAAGCCCTACACGCCACTCACAAAGCCCTACACGCCACTCACAAAGCCCTACACGCCACTCACAAAGCCCTACACGCCACTCACAAAGCCCTACACGCCACTCACAAAGCCCTACACGCCACTCACAAAGCCCTACACGCCACTCACAAAGCCCTACACGCCACTCACAAAGCCCTACACGCCACTCACAAAGCCCTACACGCCACTCACAAAGCCCTACACGCCACTCACAAAGCCCTGCTTCTTGCCCTGGAAATAGTTGCCTATGTAGCGAGCATTCCTGGCGTTTTTGTTTTTGAACTTGTACACGCCCATACCGTCTCTCTTGCCGTACATGTAGCTGCCCTCGTATATATCTCGGTTCGGCAAGATTGCTCTCCCCTTGCCGTGCCTTTCGTTCTTCTCATTACGGTCCCCTTGGTAAGACATTTAAGACTGATAAGAATTTAAACTTCAATGACGCCACCCAATTACAGAAAGAAAAAAAAAGCTACAAACCCTCGTTAAACTGGAATAATAAATATTTTGACATGAATCTACCCCTCCCCAATAATTAAAATAACCCACCTACCGACCCACCCACCTATCGACCCACCCACCTATCGACCCACCCACCGACTCACCCACCCACCCACCTATGTACCCACCCACCTAGCGACCTACCCACCCACCCACCGACCTACCCACCCACCTATCCACCCACCCACCCACCTAGCGACCCACCCACCCACCGACCTACCCACCCACCTATCCACCCACCCACCCACCTAGCGACCCACCCACCCACCGACCTACCCACCCACCTATCCACCCACCCACCCACCCACCGACCTACCCAACCACCCACCGACCCACCCACCCACCTATCGACCCACCCACCCACCCACCCACCGACTTACCCACCCACCCACCGACCCACCCACCCACCTATCGACCCACCCACCCACCCACTCACCCACCGACCTACCCACCCACCTATCGACCCACCCACCCACTCAACCACCGACCTACCCACCCACCCACCCACCGACCCACCCAACCCCCTATCGACCCACCCACCCACCCACCCACCCACCCACCGACCTACCCACCCACCCACCCACCGACCTACCCACCCACCTATCGACCCACCCACCCACCCACCCACCTATCGACCCACCCACCCACCCACCTATCGACCCACCCACCCACCCACCTATCGACCCACCCACCCACCCACCTATCGACCCACCCACCCACCCACCGACCCACCAACCCACCCACCGACCCACCCCCCCCCCCTATCGACCCACCCACCTTCATATTCCCCCAGTGTTGGGAACTCGTCACCCTCCTCGGCAGCGTCGTCGTCATCCATCTTTCCTGGTCTGGTGTGGACAAGAATTGTTTTTATTTAAGTAACCCTCAAACCCTAACTCTAACTATTACCATAACCCTCACCCTAACCCTCACCCTCACCCTAACCCTAAATCTAACCCTTACCCTAACCCTCACCCTAACTCTAACCATTACCCTAACCCTAACCCTCACCCTTACTCTAACCCTAACCCTTACCCTAACCCTAAAATTAATACTCACCCTACCCTCACCCTAAATCTAACCATTACCCTAACCCTCACCCTAACCTCGCCTGATGTGGACAAGAATTGTTTTTATTTTAGTAATCCTCGAACCTAGCCCTCACCCTAACCCTCACCCTAACCCAGAGGCGTAGCGACCCTTCCGGCGCCCGGGGACAAACTTTGAATATGGCGCCCCCCTCGGGAGCAACCTTGCAATTTTAAATTTGCACCCCCCTCCTCAAACTTTCGATTTGCACCTAAAATGAGATTTTAATTTGTTTTTCCAACCACTTGAGATTTTCGGGGGGGGGGGGGGGGGTAGACTTCCTTCGGGGGGGGGGGGGGACATACTGTTACGGACACTGTTAAAAGTATATATTTTCTATATAACTTATATAAATTTCATTCCGTTCGGGAGGGAGGGGGTAGACTTTCTTCGGGGGGGGGGGGGCTCTGTCTATGACCTACTACTACAATGCTCTGTAAGTAACCTACCTGAAGTTGCTGTTTGTGTCAAAACAATTTCACCTTCTGCCTATAAATGACGTCACCACAATGGTCCCCAGCATGCATCTGTAGAAGGAATATTTCCAGCTTCTCCACTTTTTGCTGTACAAATTTGTGGTGCACATTTACATTTCTCTTGGAATTCCCGTTTGGTGCGTAGCCAATGGTTTGATACTATAATAGACGAGAAAAATGGCCCGTTGAGGAAGGATACAACGGGCGCTAGGTTGATTGTGCTGTCTATTTTCTCTAAACTAAAACCAACCCCCCCCCCCACACACACACCAAAACATGTCTACCGTCCCATTTATCAAAAAATAATTATATACTTTTTTCATTGTCGCCCCCCTCCCCGAAAATTCTACCCCTGCCCCCGAAAATTTCAAGTACCCCACCCCTCTCCGGGGAGGAAAAAGTCTGAAAGAAACACTGGTCGCATTTGTAGATCATACAAACTAAAGGAAGAACCTGGGCGAGCGGGGCTTCGCCCCTGCCGGAAGAGATACATGAAAAAAACTGTGCACGCTAAACACTTTTTAGATTAGAAAAAGTTCCCCCCTCCGGGGAGGAAAAAGTCGGAAAGAAACACGGGTGTCGCGCTTAGCCACTACCCGAAGAATTGCATGAAAGAAACTGCAAGCAAACCACTTTTTAGATTAGACACATTAATTAGGCGGTAATTTCATTATAGAGTATCGATGAAGAAATTTCTTTTGAGTTTGGGGGGAGGGGGGGTCAGACGTTCCTACCCGTAGAATTGTATGAAAGAAACTCTTCACGCAAACCGCTTAGATTAGACAAAATTGCCTTTTTATTCAATGTTTACTCGAGAATCAATGACGTCATATTACTGTGTGCACTCTCCGGCTTGATACTATTTTCTACCATATGCTCCAATGTGACGTCATACTTCGTTGTCGTTTAACTATGCATGTTTTTATTTTCCTTGTGTTTTCTCTATAGCGTTCTTGTCAGATAGATAGACAGACAGCGAAACTATTAGTATTAATGTGGGTCTAGTATAGGCTCTATCCTAATACATAATAAACCGGGAGTGATCTCCCCTAAACTTTCTCAAATATTCTAATATAACATTACGGGGGAGACAACTCGTGACATAGAAAATATTTTTAATCCATTTTTAATTACTTAAACTTTTTATAATAGAATAGAATCTCGTAAGTAAAAGAATTGCACATCAAGTGAACGCCAAATAAAATGTGCATATAAGTGCGGGATATTATTAGTACTTTATAAATTCACATGCTTTTTTTTTTTTGAGAAATCGGAAATAACGAAAATTACTACTTTCGGTCAGCGGAAATTACTCAAAATTTGAAAGAAGGCAGAGAATTAGATCTTTTACTTACGTGTGAAATTTCATTTATCTATCTGAAATAGTACTCAAGTTATAGGCTTTTGAAAAATCCAAAGTAGAAAAAGTTCCACTTCCAGTTATCAGAAATCGCTGAAAAGTTTATACGGATCTACGATTTTGATAAAATACTTATATATGAAATTTCATCAACCTAGCTGTAACGGTACTCAAGTTATCGTGTTTACACACGTACAGACACACACACACAGACATACGGACAGAGTTGCAAATCCCAGTTTTTCAGACTGGATTACGCACAAAACCTAATTTTGATACATCTGGATTGATAATTTTTGCCCGATTAAAATAAGTCCTCTATACTTCGGATGTGATGAAGGACTGAGGTGTAATACGGTGAAAATTGTTAAAATTTCAAGTGATTTTTGTGCACGATTACAATACTTTCTCTATACTTCGTATATACAAGAAAGTAAAAAAACAAACAAACGCAAATGTGGTCTGACACACACCCTCACTACAATAAAGATGATGGCTATTATAATTTGACACGAAAACAACAATACATAATCTTTAGACTTAGAACAGGCCATAACAGACTAAATCAACACATGCATAAATAAACCGGGAGTGATCTCCCCTAAACTTTCTCGAATATCTATCTATATATCTATATATATAATTCTCTTCTGGGAGCCGCTAAAAAACAAGCTGCAAACGCGCCTAGAAAACAAGCTGTAAACGCGCTCCCTACCTCCCCACCCCTACATGGTTTTAGTGAGCTGTGTTCACTCTAAATGTTTACAAGCAGAGCCAACGATTTTAAACGTAGGGGGGAGGGGGGGGGGGGGAACGGGGGGGGGGGTTATGGTCCTTAACGAGCTACTTATAGTGTTTTAAAGAAATATTTTCAGTGGCAGCGTTGGTACTGTCGAATTCACAAATTATGAATAACTGAAAAGTAGAAAAAACAACAACTAAATAGCGGCGTATGTTATGCCGCGGGCCGGCTCGTTCTTATATAAAATAACAGGGGATGGGAACTCGGGCGACATGATTTTTAATCCATTTTAAATACTTAAAGTTTTAAAAATAGAATAAAATCTCGTAGACAAAAGAATTGCACACCGAGTGAACGCTAAATAAAAAAGTGCATAATAGTGCGCAATATTATTAGTACTTTAAAAATGTACATTAGTTTTTTGAGAAATCGGAAGTAGCGTAAATTACTACTTCCGGTCAACGGAAATTACTCAAAATTTTACAGAAGGTAGAGAATTAGATCTTTTACTTACATGTAAAATTTCATTTATCTATCTGAAATAGTACTCAAGTTATAGGCTTTTGAAAAATTCAAAGTAGGAAAAGTACCACTTCCGGTTATCGGAAATCGCTCAAAAGTTGATACGGATCAACGATTTTGATAAAATACTTATATACGAAATTACATCAACCTAGCTGTAACGGTACTCAAGTTATCGTGTTTACACACGGACAGACAGACAGACAGACACACAGACAGACACACAGACATACGGACAAGATTGCAAAATTATGTTTTTCCGTATCAGTGAGGTGTAAAACGTCGAGATTTGTAAAAATCTCGATTTTTTTTTTGCACGATTACAAGACTTTCTCTATACTTCGTATATACGTGAAAGTAAAAACTTAAGGTTGGGTGTGGCGAAATGTGCCCTTGTGGCAAGGCCCCGGAAAATACGGAGCACGTCCTTCAGGAATGTTCTTTGTATAGCCAGGCACGAGTCAGACACTGGCCCCTGCCCACCCCACTCAGGGAAAAATTATATGGGGCACCTGCCAAACTGGAGACCACAGTCCGGTTTGTTCACGAAGTTGGACTTGTTGTCTGAATCCTCCACCATAATTCAATTAAGAACGAAGAAGAAGATTCCGGTTAAAATTAAAGTTGAGGTGGTGATTTTGTTTTTGTTTCGATTTTGAGGAAAGACAACACGATCAACCTAGCGCCCGTTTTATCTCTCCCTAAACGGGCCATTTATCTCGTTAAATAATATTCGAGACAGTTTAGGGGAGATCAGTCTCGTTTACTCCAAACTAGACTAGATCAGATCTAGATATCTAGATCTAAATCTAGCCTACATGTTTACGGATTTTTACGTAGAGACGTGTATGTAATTCAAAATGGCGACCACCATAAGAGTCATGAATACGAGGGCATTGCATAGTATGTTTGGCTTACACTTTACAGTCATATATATTCTAGATTATTATAAAATACTGTAGACCTATATTACAATATTAAAATATCATAAATATGAATGTTTATTCGGCATTAAAAAAGGGGTAAAACTCCGTTGTAGCGTATTTTATTCCCGGCGCTTCACGTTCACCTTCAGTTGAGTTGAATTTATTTGTCTATTTGTCAAATAGTATTTGAGCGTGTAATCTAGATCTAGACATCTAGATCTAGGGTACAATAGACGGTAATCTATCGTTTTAGCGTAATCAATTCGGCTGCAGTAGTAATGTGCGGGAGAGGTAGCTGATGAATATATAATATATTTGTTTAAATAAGTTTATTTAAGTCAAATTTTACAAAATATCACAGATAACTGATTTAAAATAACAAACAGTGACCAAAACAATTTAAATAACATGAAACTAACTTTAAACTAGGTGTTTGAGATAAATATTAGTAGAAAAAAAACAGCGGCCATCTTTCCAAATAAAATTTAGAGTAGTTTCCCTGGATAAAAATGTCTATTCGTATGTATATTGTGTTGACTTTGTTGTTTAATATTATACATACCTGTCTTGTTTAATATAAGTAAGACAGAGGGCCGTCTTCTTATCTTTAATTTCATTTTCAAGTGAAATGAAGGCTATGTATGTATGTACATCCAAGATCTCAAAAAATTTTGGGAGGTCCAACATTTACTAAACCCTTTTCGTACTGATTATGATTAGGGGTCGTCCATAAATGACGTCACAATCGTAGGGGGGAGGGGGGGGGGGGGGGGTCGGTAATTTTGTGACTATGTGTGATGAGGGGGAGAGGGGGGGGGGGGTTCAGATGGTGCTACGTCACACTTTTGCTTTATAGATAAGAAATGTTAGAAAACGAATTTTAGACATTATTTAGCTTTTTAAAAAACAGTTTTAATAAATTATAATAGGACTTGATTAAAATACTATATTTTGACATATTTCAGACAAGATTTTGGAAAAATATCGATGTTTTTAAAAAAAATCAACTGCAATTTTTTTTGGGGGGGGGGGGGTTGTAGGCTGATGTGTGACGTCATTTTAGGGGGGTCTGACTTTTTGTGACGACGTGTGACGGAGGGGAGGGGGGAGGTAAAAATCGTAAAAAAAAAAGCGTGACGTCATTTATGGATGACCCCTTAACTTGTCAATTATTAGGTCGTCCATATTCCTCATAAATGACGTTGGACTCAAAATATGGGACGGTGTAAAATATTATTTAAAAAATGATGAAGAATATATTCGTTTTCGTTAGAAATTGTGATTAAGGGTTCGGGTATAGTAGAACTGCGAAATGATATTAAATCATCATCTTGCTTTTAGTAACTATTGGGTGAGAGGGAAATTGTCGGGAAAAGTATGACGTCATTTATGGGCGATCCATTTAATTAAGCCTAGTTGTTTATTTTGTCTGTAGACATTAGTCTTAGGCCTACACTTTTTCTGAATTAAGATTATTGTGTTTTTTAAAAAAGGTTCAAATTTTAATTAGTTACATTTGAATACCACATGGTTTGTTGTTTGTTTTTTTTTCTTTGCCTTCTGCTGTCATCAGTTTTTGATTTCTTCAGTAGTCAATGTTTACCCCTCCCCACCATCCATTATTACCACACAAAAAAAAACACCCACTATATGTGTCATAGCGTAGATATATAGAATTAGACTAGACGAGTAGAGGTTACTAAGGACGGTACGAACTTGACGGTAGACGATTTGGTGCGAGAGTATTGTGCGCGTGTTCAATAAAATATTTGTGGCGTGAGTGTGACGTGAGCATGGTGCGACAATGTACCGATGACGTAAGACGCAGCATTGAAGTTAGTTGGGGGTTAGATATAGTAGAAAACGGACGTATTATTTGATATTGTGAAAATGATCTATAAGTGTGTGTTAATTAAGTTCATGTTATTTCATAAACTAAGTTGTTGACATTGTTAATTAGTGTCTGCGGAACATAAGAGTGATTCCCGTCCTCCTCACGAGTATAATAGTTGCCGTATGAATAGTAGTAGATCAGAATATATTGAGATTATATATAAACCGCCCATCACAATATAGTGATATCCCCCTCTAGAAAAAAAAACTAGATCAACGTATAGTTCGTAGGAAAATTAGAATCTATCACTTATTCGTCTGTTAAAAAAAAAAGAAATACGTCATTTTTCACAACCACGCCGTTTCATCCCCCACTAAGCACAACGTCACAAAGTTCGCGGCGCGCGTGACGTCATTTGCAGAGGCGTAGCGACCCTTCCCGGCGCCCGGGGACATACTTTCAATTTGGCGCCCCCTTGGGAGCAAATTTTCGATTTGCACCCCCCCCCCCTCGAACTTTTCATTTGCAACCCCCCCCCCCTCGAACTTTTCATTTGCACCCCCTTCAAACTTTCGATTTGCACCCCCCCCCCCCCCCTCGAACTTTTCATTTGCACCCCCCCCCCCCCCTCAAACTTTCAATTTTCGATTTGTCCCATTTTACCTGCTAGTCAATACTTGTCGAATATTGTTGACAGGAGCTACTTGGTTTGAGCCTTGTTGTCAGAAGTTATTTCATTTGGAGTCAATATAGTGCGGCCTAATTTCGTCGGTAGGCATTTAATGGCAGGCCCTTTTTGGCGGGGATGATGTGCTGAGGTTGTTTAACACCGCTTAGTACAACAGGCATGCAATAGTTATGAACAAATGTATGCATGAAAACGAACGCTTTATGTTCCTCATTTTCATTGAGCACAGCTTTATAGAAGATTCCAAAATAGACGTCACGCATTCCCCCCCCCCCCCGACCACCCTGCGTAAGTTGACGTCACATTAGCATTGCATATGTGACATCGTTTATGGGCAACCCCATATAACTCATTTTAGGTATTTGGTATCAACATTTTGACAACAAAGGTTATTCAAAAATAATATATATAGGACTTGACATCTACCCTAAATGACATCGCACACTTAAGGGGTGGAGTAACTGGTTTTGAGACGACGTTTTACGCGGGAAGTGGGAGGGGTAAGAAACGTGAAACGTTAAGTATTTCGCCTAATACAAAAATGCTAAAAATATTTTTCATTAGAATTATGGCTTGACTTTAACAGACAGGGCAAAAAGGTAATTTTCGACATTACAACTATTTCGTGACGCCGAAAATGGGGGGGGGGGGGAGATTAAGGGGAAGAGAGGTCAAAAAACGGGACGTCATTTATGATTAAATCACTAATTAAAGGAAAAAAGCATGAAAATATTAAATGAAAATAGGAAACAAACAATAACACAAACAATAAGAATGAACTCAAACTAATATTTAAATAAACATTAGATATGTAGTGGTAGCTCTATAAAAATAGGGAGTATCTTAATGTATAAAAATTGCATCTCATAATAATAATTCTAGAACTGATGTTTATTGTCGTCAATTAAATTGTTTAAAGGGCAGAATTTAAAAAAAAAAACGCATGCTTTGTATTTAAACACAAGACTAACCTATTTAATAGCAAACATCAATACATTTCCATACAAATAGAAATTAAAGGGAAATGACTCAAAATAATATTTTCTTAAGATGGCCGCTGTTTTTAATAGCAAATTTAGTATCTGTAACATCGTTGTTAAACTTTAATTTCCTGACATTTTTATTAATTTAAACCTTAAATGTGGTTTAATATTCAATTATCTTTAGTATTTTAGTAAAATATGCAAAAATATATCCATATTTAAGCCATATTTATTAGTTACCTTATCCCTACATTACTAGTGACGGCCGAATTGATTACGCTAAAGCGATAGATTACCCAATAGACTTTAGACTAGATCTTAGATCTAGATTTAATAAAATTTCATTAGGCCCTAGGTAAAACCTTAGTTTAGCGTCGGAAATTATCGGGTAATGTTTGTTGAGTTGTTGAGTTTCGGTAACTAGAGTTACGGTAAACCATGGTTTATTTGACCATTGAAATATAAATAAATTGAAAGTTGATTGTAGTAAATTGTTTTAATTTTTTTAAGTTTAATCAACAAAAGGAAACAAGAATAAATATAATAGTATATTTAAATTAGTAGATCTAAAAAAACAAAAAAAAAACAAAACATAAATAATTAATAATGAAGTCAAATGTTATAATTTAATGTTTTTGGCTTGCAGCGGATTTGCGACCATTAATTAATTAGATCTAGATCTAGCTAGATATCTAGCTGCTAGGCCAAGTAAAAAAATCTAGATTACGAAAATAGTAAAAATGATTACAAAATGTAAAAACGATTACAAAAATAAATCTATCCAAATTTTAAACATTCTGTATAAAAATAAAAGATGACGCCAAATAAAGTATGGTTTACAGTACTTCCGGTGAATTCCGGAAGTGTGTGACAGACTTTGACATTGTTTTACTGTTTTTTACTGCTATATGATTCTGGAATAATAACCGACGCTAAACTAAGGTTTTACCAGGCCCTATATCTAAACAAATAGATCTATATCTACTAGATCTGGTAATCTGTCGTTTTGGGTACGTAAAATCGCCCGTAGCTATTAAATTTAATGTATGAAAACGTTACCTCATTGTCAAGGCTTTAATATTTAATATAGAGGTATATTGTGATATATTTGTGTCAAATATTATAAATGAATAATAAACCTAAATCATGGGAAATTGACAAGTTATGGAAGGAGTTTGTCGATTTAAAATAGGTGGTGCCCGCCACCCTACCGATATTTTAGAATGTGCTCTAGAGTAAAAAAAGGTTTTGAACCCCTGTTCTATAGTAATCTTGAATAAAATGGTACACTTTTGACCCTACTTATAAAATTTTTCAAGAAATGAGGTATGCAAAGGAGAGAAGGGAGAGGGAGGGCTAGATTTATACTCTCATTGAAAAAGAGAGAAGTTTTTTTTTTCCCGAGGTACTGACCTTGAATAACGTTGCAGCATGTGGAGATACTTTTTTACAAGCTTTTATTCAACTTGCTTCCTCTGTCATCAGTTGTCAATCTGTCTGTCTAGATCAAAACACCCGAGCGAAATTGCAGGCACTTCTAACTGACAGATACAGTTTGTAATAGGGCTGGTAAGTAGGTCACCAACCAGTTCTATGGCTCATGCAGGTTTTATTGAGCCGTAGAACAGGTTGGTGACCTACTTACCAGCCCTATTGGTACAGGGGTCAAGACATGAAGACAATGCATCATGACATTAAATTTGACTTAATTGGATGCCTAATTAATTTTTTATGAATTAATTAGAATTTTGACAGAATTAGTAGGCAGTTCTATCCAACTACTCCACACGTGTCATCACGTTCAATAGCGCGTCATTACGTTCAGTAGGCGCGCCATCACGTTCAGTGGGTGCGCAATGGTTTTTACTCATGTAACTCTATTGTAAATAAAAGCATGTAAAGTACTAAAAAAAAATTCATAAAAAAAACGTTTTTATAACAAGCTTTTATGTAATAATGCACTAAAAAGGAGAAAATAAATGATACACTACTATTTAAATAACTGTCAAGAAAAGCTTGGGTTCTTCCTAAATATTAGTAAAGGTATCCAATAAATACTAAAGTGACCCACGCTTTTCTTTATAGTTATTTAAATAGTAGTGTATAATTTATTTTCTCCTTTTTAGTGCATTATTACATAAAAGCTTGTTATTAAAACTTATTTTATGAAATTTTTTTCTCTAGAACAAACAGGGTAGTAATGGTATATACTTAAGCTATGTCTCGTTACACTGTAGACTTCATGAGTAAAAGTTATTGGTTCTATTATTTAACATAACAGCTGCTGATATTGACACATAAAACATCAAGTGCATCTTTCTAACGGGTAAACATTTAAGAGAAAATCCTTATAATATTTAATATTTACCACAGAAGTAAATGTGATTCCAAATATTTTTTTAATAGGATATGCAGTGGTAGCACATCAACATGTTTTAGTTTTTGTAATGTGTAGCCTAGAGGATAGCTCCTAATTAAACTGCAATAAAGGGCTTTACTTTTTATAAAAAACTGCTACGTCAGTAGTATGCTTTTTACAATAAACTACTATGTCAGTAGTATACTTTTTACAATAAACTACTATGTCAGTATACTTTTTACAAAAAACGACTACATCAGTAGTATACTTTTACAAAAAACTACTACGTTAGTAGTATCCTTTTTACAAAAAACTACTATGCCAGTGTATACTTTTTACAAAACACTAATACGTCAGTAGTATACTTTTTACAAAAAACTACTACGTCAGTAGTATACTTTTTACAAAACACTACTTCGTCAGTAGTATACTTTTTACAAAACACTACTACGTCAGTAGAATACTTTTTACAAAAAACCAATCGAACAGTATGCTGCCAATCTGTGGCCATGTGGATTACACACAATACGTAGAAAATTAAGGCCTTGCTGCCATGTGGATTACACACGATACGTAGAAAATTAAGGCATTACAATTATTCTAGATGACTTTAGAATCACCGCATGTACCCAATGCGCCCAATTAAACTAATAATCTTCTATAGCTATTCTGCTAGGGTCATCATTTTCACGAATTCGTCTTCCTATTTTGTTGCCAAAAAAATAAGTATTTAGTTCATGAGAATGTAAAAAAAATGGCTCATGCAACCGTCAATCAGATACCTTGAAGTGGTTTGACATATGCAGACATGTGCATTGTTGAAGTTAAATATGTTTAAAACTATCCTTTTTTGAAAAAATGGCTACGTCCATATTTTAGGAGCCATTTTTTGCCCATTTTAAAAAATTAAAAAAAGATCCAAACTGCTAGTAGAAAAAAAACTTTGTGCCCGCTCCAAAACTGCTGGGTTTACATATTGTGTGATGTCATTGTAACATTTGCCACCAGCCTGGTGGCTGATGATATGAAACCCTCTAGGGATTACATATAAATGTGCACCAATATACCTTACCATTGATGAAATAATGTGTATTTTTGTTTTTGTATTTCTCCTTAGACCTTTGTCTCAGTTCAAAACATTCAAGATTATTTGGATCTGTTTTTGACTCGGTTCAAAAATCAAAGAATCACCATCAAGGTAAGAGTATATTCTACAATGATTTTTAAAAAATGTACTTCTATAGCAGGGGTTCCCAACCCTGTGCCCGCGATTGGTATGTGCCCACCTCTCACTATTCGACAGAGACAGAATTTTTTTCATAAACATTATTTTAAAATATGATTTATTTTTATTCATTTGTTTCAGTTTTAATTTTTTTGACTGCTTAGGTTAATTAAATATGTTCGATACTTGTCCCAACTTGTCTAGCGGCGAGCCAGACTGCACTATTTACGCTAGCCTGGAACGGCTAGTGCCATTTGCACATCACAAATTGTACACGCTGAAAACCCGAAGTGAACGAATGGAACGAACGCCACGAACTGATCCGATAAACGCCGAAGGCGCCAATCACAAGGCACATAACTCTGATTGCTTCAGCGATCATCGGCTCACTTTGGGGTTTCCGCGTGTACATGGAGTGATGTGCAAAAAGCATTCCTCGCCTGGAACCGCGTTGTTGTCATTGTGATTGCTGCCCTGTTCGGGTCGCGACAGTTAGATAAGAGACATGTTCATCAGACGAAACACGAATTAAGAGTTTTCTATTAAAAAAAAATTAACAGGCTAAAAGCAAGGTGCGTAATTTATTGTATTCATAAGCGATGATTTTTTTGTTTATTATTTATTAATGCATTATGACTATAAGAAAATTAGAAAATAAGAAAATAAATTATGGGAAAATGACAAGTTATGGAAGGAGTTTGTCGATTTAAAATAGGTGGTGCCCGCCACCCTACCGATATTTTAGAATGTGCTCTAGAGTAAAAAAAGGTTGGGAACCCCTGTTCTATAGTAATCATCGTAATAAATAGTCTTTCTCTGGATTTTAGCTGCAAATCTACGTGATGATGAACTGTTGTCTAAAGTTGAATCAGCTGTACAGCAAGAAGATTACTTTGGAGTTAAAAAGCTTGTTACTCTAAAAGATCTCTTTCAAGTGAGACGTGGCTAAGTTTTATCACCAATTTTTATTTATGGGTCCACACACAGAAGGATTGTTAAAGGTTCTTTTTTGTCTGAAGGGGACAGGGATGGGGATGTGGGGGTATTGATACAGATGTATACACAAATTTCCCAGTCCAATCATGTACACAGACCCCCAGTCCAGACATGTACACAGACCCCCCAGTCCAGACATGTACACAGACCCCCCAGTCCAGACATGTTCACAGACCCCCAGTCTGATCATGTACACAGACCCCCCAGTCCAGACATGTACACAGACCCCCCAGTCCAGACATGTACACAGACCCCCAGTCTGATCATGTACACAGACCCCCCAGTCCAATCATGTACACAGACCCCCCAGTCCAATCATGTACACAGACCCCCCAGTCCAATCATGTACACAGACCCCCCAGTCCAATCATGTACACAGACCCCCCAGTCCAATCATGTACACAGACCCCCCAGTCTGATCATGTACACAGACCCTCCAGTCTGATCATGTACACAGACCCCCCAGTCCAGACATGTACACAGACCCCCCAGTCCAGACATGTACACAGACCCCCCAGTCCAATCATGTACACAGACCGCCAGTCCAGACATGTACACAGACCCCCCAGTCCAATCATATACACAGACCCCCCAGTCCAGACATGTACACAGACCCCCCAGTCCAGACATGTACACAGACCCCCCAGTCCAATCATGTACACAGACCCCCCAGTCCAGACATGTACACAGACCCCCCAGTCCAGACATGTACACAGACCCCCCAGTCCAATCATGTACACAGACCGCCAGTCCAGACATGTACACAGACCCCCCAGTCCAGACATGTACACAGACCCCCCAGTCCAGACATGTACACAGACCCCCCAGTCCAGACATGTACACAGACCCCCCAGTCCAATCATGTACACAGACCGCCAGTCCACATGTTTGTACAAACCTCCCTTCATGACTTTCCCCTAATTTTTGTGTCAATATTGAGTTCAGGCTCGTGTCCATCTGGGTCACAATGCTGGTCTGCGCCATGAATCCATGACACCTTTTCTATTTGGCACCCGTCAAGGAGTGGACATCATTGATCTGGAACAGACACTGCCCCTGCTTCAGCATGCATTGAATGTGTGTGGCCACATAGTCTACAGAGGGGGGATGGTTCTCTTCCTGAGTCGCAACATGCAGCTCCTCCCCTGGATAGAGAAAGCTGCTCAAGAAATAGGAGAGTATGCACATTGCAGGCCCTGGCAGAGAGGTGAGTTTTTTTTGACATCACTCAATTTATAATAGAGCAGGTTACACAGGTCAGTGGAGGTAACAAGGCAAGAATTTGCTACATTTACATTTGTCTGGGTTAGGGTATATATACATGTATATATATATACATATACGTACATACATATATATATATATATATATATATATATATATATATATATATATATATATATATATATATATATATATATGTAAAATGAAAGCTTGTCTGTTGCTTCTACCTCACTATTACTGAGGGTGATTAACATACACTCAAAGCTTTCATACAGCATGCTCTGGGCCATCTGGATGGTTGTGTGGACCAACCCAAATAACTCAGATCCAAGAAGAGTCTGCTTTGTTTAAATTAAAGCAACTCCTTTTTACAAAACAAGGCCATGCATCTAAAAATACCTGATTGGTAACGCATTAATGAAATCTTTCAAAAAATATTGCATCAGCCTTTCTTCTGAAACTGTGGCAATACACAGTATGAGTATACCCCCTCCCCTGCACTTCATAATCTGGCATAACTGCAATCTCAGGTATATATTTTGTGAGATTTGTTGGATGCATTAGTAGATGAATACAAGTCATCATTTACTCTTGTCTATGATTCAAGTGAACTTTCTTCTTCTTCTTCGTTCTTAATTTAGTATATGACGGAGGGTCTCCAGTTCAGCAGGTGCCCCATTTAGTTTTTCCTTGAGTGGGGTGTGTAGGGGCCAGTGTTTGGATCGCGACTGGCTATATAATGAACATTTCTTAAAGGACGTGCTCCGTATTCTCCGGGGCCTTGGCCATAAGTGAACTAGATTTTGTGTTGTTTGTATTTAGCAAGAATGAAGTTCTTAGTATTCATGGGATTCAAAAAGTTATGCACGATGGATGTTTATATTAACCAGAAAGTTTTAGCAGAAGGTGTGATCAGTTATGATTGTTACAAGGATTGAGGAAATAGGATCTCTGCATGTCAAGCAAAGATCAAAGTTAAAAACAATGTTGTTGTTGTTGATTTCTGCATGAACACACATGAACACACACATGAACACACACATGAACACACACATGCATCAGATGGGATACAATGTGGAGTACTTCAAGTTTGACACAACATTAAAAAAAGATACAGAAACAGGAAAATCCCCCAAGAGATGCAAAATTCTAACTATTAAACTGCCTGCTGAATACAAGAAACTTTCTAGGGGTGAGAATTTTTTATTGTTTGATATTGATGTAGCTGACAAAAACAGACTTTTACTGTTTGCCTGAGACATTTTTTCAGTTCTACACAGTTCATGCGCTCATCAGTGGCGATGTCATTGCTTGACTGTACTGTTTGCTGTCCAACAAAACAACTGAAACCTATTGCCATTTTTTAATGAAATGAAAAGAACGAATGTTGGCTGCAGCGCCTAATTCAGCAGTTGTTGCTGACCATCCAAATATCTATCACTTCATCAATATTCTCAAACAAGGACATGGTTTTCACAAAGTGGTCATCGGTCAACAGCTTGGCGGACATGTAGTAGAACTAAACAAGGAAAAAATATCGTTACATCAATTCTCAGATTTTCAACATCGTTCATGACTTTGCAAACAGAAAAATCATCTACTGTTTTCAAGCGATAGCCTACAATATTAAAAAATTGAAATGCTTTCCTTCATTTTCCATTTCAGAAAATAAAAATATTTTTATTATTTAGTAATTCAGCTGATCCTTGCTTGTGTTAACTTTGACAATTTTTGTATTTGCAGGAACCTTTACAAATGCTTCCAATATTTTCGGCACTCTTCCTATTTATCCTGATGTTTGTATTTTTCTTGGAACTCACGACACTGTGTTTGAAACCCACAAAGGTGTCATTGAGTCGTCTAAACTGTTAATACCGTCCATTGGCATTGTGGACACAAATGTGGACTGTTCCCTGGTCACGTACTGTGTACCAGGCAATGATGACACACCTGATGCCTTGCACCTTTACCTCAAGTTGTTTACAAATGTCATTCAGAGAGCCAAGGCAAAGAGAGCAGAAGATGGGATTAACAGCAAACAGACCTCTTCACTTGTGCACTGATTGGTGCAAGTTCAAATATACAATAATATTATATATGAAATGTACATAATAGCGCAATAAAAATAAAAGACTTTTTCTGTCACTAGTTAACTAATTGAATCATTTTATAACTTTACCAGAACAAAATAGAACACATTAAGGGATGGCAACTTGATAATGGTTATGTAATTAAAACAGATCTACTACAGTAGTGATGTTATACACTTGCTGTTGCGTAATATATATATATACTTGTGTGTGTATATATATATATATATATATATATATATATATATATATATATATATATATATATATATATATATATAAATAAAGTTAAATTCTGGATGTTTATTGTGGGCTAATCGTGGATTCCAAAATCTAAAGTGCTCATTGTTTAAATTTATGATTTAAAAAAATAATATTGAAGGTGTTATAAAACAATTTACATTTTTATAATTATAATTGTCAGCATGTCCATCAAAGACATTTTTTTTCTAAAAATGTATCTTTCACAAAAATTCTAATTATTTACATTTAGTACTTTAGCATTCCTTACGTCCGTGATAAATTAGGAAAACACAATTACTTGCCTTTATAAAAAAAAAACATATCTGGGGAAAAAATGTAGGCCTACCTTTTAATTTTATTGCTTTGTTTTGGTGTTGGGAATAAAAATAATTACATAATTAGTGGGGAAAAAATAATAACATAATTAGCGTGGATTGATCAAGGTATTTTATTTATTTCATATACTGTACGTACTGTTTACTAATTATTTTTTTTAATCAAAGACAGTTGACGTAAAAAAAAGACATCTTTATTTGGGAAGGGAAATGCCTGCAGGTTATTATTTTGTCTTTTTTTTTCGCGTACTTCTTTCCGTTTGTGGATAAGCTTGGGGTAATGTAATTGTTCACTAAATTCAAACAGGCATGTCCACCGGCGCCCCGGCAGGATTCAATTTGGTGCTCCGGGACTTCCCGTGTTTGCCTATGACGCCTACGTTCATTTAAGTGAGTGAAAAATACTATGAGTAGGTTGGGGTACTATAGTCGTTTACCAAGCTGAAACAGGCAATTCCGCAGGCTCCCCAGCATGGTGTGATTTGGCTAGATTGAGTACTTTGTGTTTGTTTGGGTTGTGTTTGCGTTATGTTTTGGTTGGTTGTGGTTAGGGTGGGCAATGCCGGGTATATGCTGATTATTAATCACACATGTTATAGGCCTTTACAGATAGGTTTTTCACAGAGGCCATTGCAGGGCCGGGACGGCTAGTGTATATATATATATATATATATATATATATATATATATATATATATATATATATATATATATATATATATATATATACATGAGCTGTAGTGTTAATTAAAGATAGGCAAACGTTCAAACCGCTTCCATGACTTATTTACCTTTTCCCCACGTTTTCTTTAACTTGCTTTCGCGTCTGTTTGTTTGTTTGGTTCTCCAATCAAATCTTGCGATCGAAATTTCGGGCAAAAATTTCAATGCAAAAAAAAAAAAAAAAACAACATAATACTAGACACCATTACACTTACAAAGCTTTCATGTTTCATATTCTTTTGACCGGCCCGAGGATTGGAAGTATTACGGACAGAGATTTTCAAAACAGACTAATACAATCACACACATGACATGTTGTAATTTTTAAAATTAAAAACAACCAAGACATTTTTTTTTTCAAAACCCGATCTGGACAGAAATTAGTAACCTATATTGGAATTTTGTGTTTCTATCTATCTATCTATCTATCTATCTATCTATCTATCCATATATATATATATATAATATATTATATAAAGCTGAAATATATCTACAAATTTGATATAAATTTTTTATCAACCTAGCCGTAACGGTACTCAAGTTAACGTGTTTACAGACATACACAAAGACATACACACATACAGACAGGATTGCAAAGCCCAGTTTTTTTCGACTCGATTACGCGTAGAACGCCAAAATTTTCATAAATCTGCATTTATAATTTTCGCCTGAGTAGAATAAGTCCCCTTTTACTCCGTATGATAAAATACTGAATTGTAAAACGATGAAAACGATCAAAATTTCATGTGAGTTTTGTGCTCGATTAAGGGACGGAGTGGTCTAGCGGTAGAGAGCTGGACTGCTAAGTCTCGAGTTCGAATCCGGGTTCAAGTCAATAGACCGTCCCTAAGTCTACGTTAGGGAAAGTAAAGGCGGCTGAGCATAGTGCTGACCACATTATCTCTTCATATGCCGAGGTCACAGAAACAAGTGAACTCTACTTCACTTGCCCTATAGATCGTAAGGTTTGAAAAGGGAACTTTTGTGCACGATTACAATACTCTACGACAAAAGCGCGTCATCACGTTCAATGGGCGCGCGATGGTTTTTAGTCGGGTCAGCAGTCTAGTTCTTTACCACTAGACTACGCCATCCCATAATATTTTACCGAAACTTTAGCTATAAACTTGACAATGGTTTTTAGTCATATAACTATTGTAAATAAAACATGTAAAGTACCGAAAAAAATAATAAAAAAAAACGTTTTAATAACAAGCTTTTATGTAATAATGCACTAAAAAGTAGAAAATAAATTATACACTACTATTTAAATAACTATAAAGAAAAGCGTGGGTCTCTTCCTGATTTTTAGACACTACTATTTAAATTACTAAAAAGAAAAGCGTGGGTCACTTTAGTATCTATTGGATACCTTTACTAATATTTAGGAAGACCGAAGAGACCCACGCTTTTCTTTATAGTAATTTAAATAGTAGTGTCTAATATTTAGGAAAAGACCCACGCTTTTCTTTATAGTTATTCAAATAGTAGTGTATAATTTATTTTCTACTTTTTAGTGCATTATTACATAAAAGCTTGTTATTAAAACGTTTTTTTTTAAAATTAATTTTCTTTTAAAGGAATCTAATAAGGGTTTATTTGCAAGCTGACTGCAAAGTGTAAATACATCTGCACTCGTGCACTGATCATTAATATATGCACATTGCTACAACTGTAGTAACGATCTCCCTCCCCCCTCCCATTCCACGTGAGTATTGGAGGCATTGACATAACATCTAACTCATCTAGTTAAAGTTGAAATTATTCATACACGATATAGAGTTAAAGAACACACTAACACGCCAAATAGTCGATTTTTTTGGAAATGTAAAGTATTTCAAGCTACACATCATGTACTATTTAGTTTAAAAGCATCGCTAAAACCCAAACCATCCATGAACTTGGCGGGATTTTCTACTTGAAACTATACCCATATATTGTTGACTCTGGCGACGAAGTGTACGATCACGTGACCTTTTACATTTAACAGAAAAAAATATTTGGCTATTCTAAAAATATTATAAAATATGTTGTATTTATTTTTTAAAGTACCCTCTGTCAGAGAAGATACAAATATTTTAAATAAGCAACCAGAATTTTATTTTTCATAAAAAACGTTTGAACAAGTTTTTATGTAATAACTAGTAATAACTAGCCGTCCCGGCCAGGCCCTGCACTGGCCTCTGTGAAAAACCTATCGGACTATGACTTGTGTGTTTATTTAGCACCATATACCCATCATTGCCCGGGTTTAGGAATTAACTCAAACCACAACCAACAAAAAAAAAAAAAACCGCAAACATAACGCTAACACAAACGCAAACAGAAACACAAATCAACCACAAACGCAAAGGAATACGTTGAATGGTCATAAAAAGGCCAGAGGATTGAATGGGAGAGGGATCAAAGTCCGTTGCTCGACTGCCGTTGAAAAATTATCTCGATGATAATTTGCAATAAATTAGATATATTGCGTAATATCAACAACCATAAAAATTACGCAGATTTGGAGAACTTAAAATTTACTTTTTATTGGTATCAAACTTATTACTATAGTAATACCACCCCCGAATGAAATGGAATTTATATAGAAAATATAATTATGATACCAGTGTCCGATCCCCCGAAAAATTTGGTCCACCCCCCATCCCTCCGAACATGTCAAGTGCCTCCCCCCACCCCCGGAGTAAAAAGTCTGAAAGAAACACGGATTAAAATATTGAGAAAGAAATCACACAACGTATCATCACGACATCCACAAGTCGACTACTTGATACACGATATAAAAAAAATAATACTGTATAGGTCGAGTTGACACGATTCGTGACGCCAAGGGTTCAGCAGTATAGAGAAATCACAATACCGATTCATGGTATCGCGCTCTGGCGCACTTTATTACTATGTCGCTCTGTCGTATTTAACTGTCATCATATATATGAGTCGGGTGTTAGTCTGGACCTCCGCCGAAGAGACTGAGTTGCCGAACTCCTGGGGTTCGATCCTACCAAGGATAAGAACCACTGCCCTAATACTCGGGGGTTGGATCCTACCAAGGATAAGAACCACTGCCCTAATACTCGGGGCTTCGATCCTACCAAGGATAAGAACCACTGCCCTAATAGTCGGGGGTTCGATCCTACTAAGGATAAGAACCACTGCCCTAATACTCGGCCCTATGTGAAAAACATGTCATCGCGATGTGTTTCACGGCTAGGAAAGTATCACTACTGACGTGTCACCAATGACGTCATTATGACGGACGTGTCACTAATGACGTAATTGTGACGGACGTGTCACTAATGACGTAATTGTGACGGACGTGTCACTAATGACGTGTCACTAATGACGTGTCACTGTGACGGACGTGTCACATTTAAAAAACGTTTAGACTTGTCTAGAGCTAAATGTTAGACCGACGCACGCTTACTGTAAAAATCAGCCGACTTGAGCGACCGCTGGCCAAGATTTGCCCGAGTGTCTCTCAATTAAAAGAGACCCGCTTTTTCAAGGGTGTCTTGTATAAGGCGGAGCCAGTCAGCCAAGGGTTAAAGCGGCTCGTTACTCTATCTCTACACGGCGGCTCCGTGTCCTGAAATCCTCAGGCTGACCGAGATCTGGCATCGCGAGTGTTTGCGGGCTGGCTAGCGGCGCGTGCGGAGGTTAATTGGAGCGCTAACGAGAGTGTGGGCCCTAATGCTCGGCTATCTAACTTTATGGACTGCTCTCAACAAGTCTCTGGCCCAACTCTCTAAGC